TATAACCGTGTAATTTTCGTGTGAGTTTAAACGCAAAAAAAATGTGTACACACATATGCGAAAACGTCGATTTTCCCCCCTCGTTTCGTTCCGACTTTGCGGCGCTGTGTGTTAATTATTTACACTCGGCGTGCGATACGATGGCTGTAGTTGGGCTCGTGATTATTGTATACATATTATATTATTATCCGTATAGTATATTGCCAGCAGGGGCTGAGAAACGTGTTAAGCTTTGCGATAAGCGATATAAGTGTCTAAAAAAGGAAATAATAAATTGTTTGTCCTAGAGACTTGTTGTTTATGCAGCTAGGTACATTTTAGATTATGGCTTACGGATATATAATGTGTCCTACGAATAAATCGTTCTTGTAAATACTGTAGATGCTTGCCTAATACAGTTGCATATTATGATCAATAACACATTTTTTTTGACAAACCCTGCATTTAGATACAATTTATTTTTAATATTGGTTCGTAAAAAATTATAACCATACATATAACTCACACCCGTATAGCAATATAGTATTCGTTGAGATTAATTTTTTTCGTTCCTCTGAATTTTCTCTCAATCGTGCCACGCGGTCATTGCCGGAGACAGACTTACTGGCGCATTGACACTGAGTCGGTACAGCGTTTTGATTTTAAAAACCCCTTAATACCACCGGAATAACACTTTGTGCACAAAATATTTAATGTATTTATACAGTACGTTGAAAATTCCCCGGCACTTGTATTATATATGCTTGCTGTAATTTATGCGCATTATGATAAACACAAAGGGGCGATGTTCTCTTTCGTGGAACCAAAACGGTAATGACGGTTATTACCCCAACCATTTCTGCAGTGACGGGAATTTTCAATCACGAACTCGCACGTACATTTATGTCAGCTGAAATCGATAAGATTTCTTTTAACTAATTGTATATTGCGTGTCACTCGCAGTATTTTCCTATAGTCTAAAAATCGTTTTTATTTTTTTTTTTATGATTTGATTTTCGATCGGTCAAACGTCAAACGACTTTTTCCTCTCCGACTTCTTCCCAAAGTTTTTCTCAACAATACTCGTTGTAGTCCACAAATAATATTATATTATAGAAAAATAGTAAATGTAAAAATTTGACATTAATTTTAATTAGGTAAGTGCAATGTTGTGGTAAAAAAAACTCAATGGATTGGTACAATCCGAATTTATTCCGAGAAAACGGTTGTTATTATTGCTTGGTTAGTTTGGAAAAATCGAATAACTTTAATGCTGATTCAATGATTTTTTTTCGTCATGCTCGTGCTGTATAAGTTAATATATTTTGTTTTCAATTAAATTGATCTGCCTTGTCTAAAAATGCATCATCCATAACATATAGTCGCTCAATCATTTTTTTCACATATGCTATCTATATTCATCTATGAAATATATTATTTGCTATACCCATGTTACATATATTATATTATTATTCACTTCTACGCTATTTCAGACGGGCTCCAAACGGAATCCCTCCGGGAAACGAGTTGATTTCTTATACTTTTATTTATTATCTGTTATCAAAAGGGACCTCTTTTGCAGGCACATGTTCTGAATAGTCTTCCATTTTCGCCGATGCCACAGGCCACAGCGCCGACCTTCGTTTTTTTAGAACTTTGGAATCAATCACACTTACCGAGTTGATTTTTATCAATTTATCCCTTGAGAATTCATCTAAAGCCGTTTTCTGTATAAAGGTAGTAAAAATAATAGGGTCATAAGGCAGTAGGCACTACTATGTATAGGTACTATAATATACAAACGACTTGATAGTATTAATTTTTCTTTTCGAAGGTCAATTTCTTATTTCTTTTATTTTGTTATACCTACACGTCATTACTAATCTATGTCTGTATTATCACATAGCTATTGTTATTTTCTATTTTTTTTTCGGTCGAAACTTGTTCTGTTGCAACATGTATCGCCGTTTTCGACTGTTGTAAATCCATTATTAGAGAACAAAATTAACCACATTTTTGAATATTTTAATTATTTATCTTCATTGATTAGCTTATTATTAGTTGATTGCATAATATGCTTAAAATCGTGTTAATGCATATGTTTATTATTTTTCTGTTTAAATTACCTTTTAATGTCCAAATGTATGTGTTAATAAAGTGAGTTTCATATCTGATATATTATATTATTATATTATAAGTATTAAATAATATATGTAATATGTATGATATAATTAAATTCCTTGTCAATATGTTTAACAATGCGTATATTTCGGTTAATATGATATCCAATCAATTCCGCATAATTAATTGGCTTCTATGTTTAATTAACGACAGGGGAGTTTAATATTATGATCAATGTAAATGTATTATAAATAGTAGCATATTTTGGAATATTTCGTAAATTGTGAGCAAAAATTTGTATTTATTTTTATTAATTTGAATATTACGGTACTCTGAACAATTTTTTTTGACCATTTACAATTTATTTTTTTTTTCATTTTGATAAAAATAAAACACGCAGTATTATCAAGGTTTATCTATGTATATCTACTGATAAGATCAACTTATAAGTTTATCAAATATTCAAATATCAAAATTTTGTTTTTGTGTTTTAATATTATACTGTTGTATTTATATTATATTCCAACTTCTTACTCTTGCTAAAGTGCAATACTATTCCATGAGGTATAATATGCAACTCTTAATACCTAATTAATATCTCACTATAAAAATATAGTTGAAAAAAAATTTTAAAAATAAATGCATATTAAAGCATATAATGATGTTTTTTGATTATTTTTGCATATTTTTTAAATTTTTGAATATCAAGTATTTGAATTAGAAATGCATAATGATAATCGGTTAGTTATTATAGTTTTCATTTTGTAATATCAAGTATTTAATTGAAAATGCAAATGATTATTTGATTATTTATTTCCTTTTAAAATTTATGTTTCCAATTATTTTTTATTTGGTAGGTCGTACATATCATTAAACATTTCACTTTCTTAAGATATGATCACAATTCAAATTTCCAATCAAAACGTTTTTAACACTTTAAAATCTACATATATTTATAAAGTACCAGTTAGATGATGAATTATATCAATAACATAAAGTTTTTAGAAAATAATTTGTTACACGTGTGTACAGCAATTATATCTTTTTATGCGTTGAGCAACTTACGTTTTGGCCGTTATTCAATTTATTTCTAATCATGATATCTTTTATATATATATATATATTATACATTTTAAAATTTCAACCCAACGAACGAAAATCCATTAAATTGGACACAGAAAGACCTGTTTATTTATTGGTGAAAAAAAATACCATATGAACACTATATGTACAGCATACGTAAAATGTTCTAAGACATCAAATTTCAAATTTGCGAGTACAAATTTATACCAAGATCAGATTTCAAGATTGTAAACTTTGATTTCCATGAATGTAATTCAACATGGTCGTTAATTTGGCAAATGCATATAAACATTTTTTTTGCTCTTGGGGTAAATTAATTTAACATATTTTTTATAAATATATTTTTGACTATATGTATGATCAAGATATGACCCAAATGTGTAAATATTATAGTGATCCAAATTTTGTATTACCAAAATGGTGAAGGGATCTCAACATTATTATGTAAGTATGATTTTCTGAAATTTTCACCATTCCTATAACACGAATTTCTGATTAGCCTTTATTATAGTTATAATACCTGCAGACTGTGTTCGCTTTTATAATTCATCAAATAGATAACCTTATCGTTGTTTTTTTTTAAGTTATCACGACGCATGTAAATAACCGTACAAATTAAATCTACGGAGTTCACTTAAACTTGTAGAACATTAACTATATATTTTGTGTAGTTGAGGTTTTGTGATCAAATCACTTAAAATGCCTTTTAAGGGGATCCAGTTGACCTCCAGCAGCCCTACTGTTATAATTCAGGAAATTTCTAGGAAATATTGTCAGAAAATGAAATAGATTAAACTCACCCATACTATAATATTCGTTTACTTTGCACTACACACTTACAAGTCATTTTAATGTCGTCATTTAAATTGCCAGTATTAATTTCTTTAAATCAAGTCCGACGGAACCCTCTTAAGAGTGTGATCAGTTTAAAAATATAAAAATTTAACAAAACAGTTGTAACCTTTTAATGTTTAGGTACCTAGTTAAGTTTATAGTCACAAACCTGAGTACTAGCATTGTTAAATTGTATCCCATTCTTAGAGAAAAATAAAACGTTGGTACCACTAATTCAGTGTAGGTAGTTCCTATATTTATGTTTTGTTTCGATTTTAATCGTACCTCATCTCATGCTTAGCTATTCAATTTCCTGCCAGATTGTTCCGTTTCGTATTCGAATAAAAATAAATTTAGGTACCTTTAACTTTTAAGTGATTTTATAGATGACCTGATTATTTATAAGTGGTAAACCTTGCAGTTTAGTGTAACGGTCCGTTTAACATGGCTCCCGCGGTCTGTTTCCGTGTCATGTATATTACACACGCTATATCGAGACTTCCAATTTGATTTTTCATTCTGATTGCCAATATAATATAAAATGTTATATTGTTATTCTCGCTCGGTGAAAATAAGAAAAAGAAAACTCGTCACCGTGCGTACACTTCATTCAATAGGAATCTCCATCGTATTCCACCTCGATGAATATGTCTGTATTCATAGCTTATATATAGCAGGTAGTCTCTCTGTATGAAAAAATAATGTTCTTTACATATATATTGTCTAAAAAAAAAATGGAATTAAAAACATCCAAATATACTATGCAATTTGACGATTTTGCCATTCAAAGTAGAAAGCTGTTGATATTTTCTCGATCAACGCCATATATATATATATATGAAATACACGTGTATACTTAAATAATATAATACTATGGGTAGATTAGGTTTGTTACGATGACATTTATTTGACCGCGGTTAATATAAATAATATAATTATTAAATATACGCATACTTATGAATTCCTTTAAATTTTGTTTACAGGTTGGCGAAACTCGAAGAAACTTTGAAGGATGAAAGTCTATCGGAGCAACAGAAACAGGAAAAACGCCAGCAACATGCGCAGAAAGAATCGGAATTTCTCAGGCTCAAGAGATCGAGGCTCGGGGTAGAGGATTTCGAACCGCTAAAGGTCATTGGCCGTGGTGCTTTTGGAGAGGTAAATTATCATTTATTTATTTTATTACTTTTTTTTACCTTTTTTTTTTGATTTTTATTCGGAAGTTGTGTAGTTAATAATATTATATATAGCACACCAGTCACGGTTCATCGAGCCACCATTGGCTATTTGAATCGATAAATTGGTTCCATTCGATTTTAACCCAAATTCGTCTTACGTTTTACTTATATAGTACTATTATTTTAACTAGTTTTTCCATCCGACAAGATATTATATAAATATATATATTATTTTCATACTATACGTTCAATTCGTACATTTTCTCTTCTCTATTTAATATACTTAACGAGTGTAGATGGGCATTACATTATTTTTTTTACCGGCTCCTTATAAATATACATATATATACTAAATTCACCAAAGATTTTTAAGAAACCAACTCTTCTACGCTATAATATTTAGATACCGTTTATAAACATATTTGAATAATAATGCATTCGTCTATATTGTATTAAACAAAACCGTGTTTGATATTTTGATTGACGATTTGGATTTTTGCTATAAACAGTATACTCGACTGGCCCATAATAGTATAGTAATTGAAAATAAAGTATGGAGCCAATTGTTATAATTTATGTATTGTGTTATACAGTTTTCAAGTATTTCGTTGGTATTGATCAACAATATATGTGTAGGATACTTTGTAGAAACCGATTGGTGCTATTACACATACTATAATGTATTTATATATATATATATAATAATATATGACATATACAATATGGGTGTACACTATAATAGTACAATAGGAATCAATATGATTTAAATTATACTTATTACTTATATTTAATAGATTTTTTTTTGTTTTTATTAACAAAGGAAACTAGGAAATCTAATCTCGGACATTTTATTGGACATATTTTTTTTTCAACTAACATTAACTAAATAACCATTTTGGCTAAGTAGTATTGTTTTCATTTTATTTTATTGTATCTACACAAATCATCAAGTAAACTAATATTTAAAAAAAAAAACAATTTCATTGAAATCGTTCATTAGTTTAATAAGTTAGATTTAATAACCGATTTATAATATTAATAAGCCCAGTGATCATTAGAAGTAATTTTTATAATCCACTATACTTCGAGGGTAAAAACAAACAGCTTTTCCCAGTGAATCATTAAGAGTATATTATATTAGAGAGCACTTTATAAATAGGTATTCAATAATGAATTCACGTCTTTCAAAAAAAATTTTCCCACGCGATACCTATAGGCTACCTTAATAGAAAATAATAAAAACCTATGAAATGTCTTTAGTTATTTTTTTAAATGTTTAAAGAGGGTTTATAAGGGTTTTTTTATGTAAGTATTTTCTGTTGAAACCTATTTGAAAAACCTAGCATGTTATTAGGTTCCTAATAATTGGTAATTCAAAAAAGTTGTGCAATGTTTGTAAAGGAATTAATGAAATACTATACTCACTAAAAATTAACAATTTACTAACTTAATGTTTTACTCCTATCCATTTTTGTCTCTAAAATATGGTTAAGTTAAGAAAAAAAATGCAAGACTTAACTTATCGTTTCTTACTTGCTATTATATAATGTATAAATTAGGTTATTGAGTCTAAAAAAAGTATGAAACTGTACATATAAATACGTACCATTACAGACATTTATAATTATTTTTTGCTTAATAATACCTATTGATATTCGATTTGAGTTCATTATGTTGATGTTAATTTCAAAAAACAATGCAATAAATAATTTTTGTTTTTCTACCTTCTAAATAGCTTTTATAATATTCAAGTTCAGAAATGGTTTTACGTTATTATATTATTTAAAGGCTACACGTGCTATCCTTTGTCAAATATTTCGTTTGTTAAAATAGGTATAGAATACATTAGTAGTTAAACCATGGGAAAGACATCTTTGTCTTCTATTATGTGATATATTGCGGCCAGCTGACATAAAATAAATTTAGCAATCGGCAACAAAGATTTCCTAAGACATATTATTATGTATTTTATGTTATTTGTATTTTGTACGAAAACACAATGGTTAATGTTTATTATTTGCCTTATTTGGTATATGCAAACTCGCAAATTCGGGACAAACGCGAACAATCTATAGAAAATAGTACATTTTTTGTTTACTCTGACAACGTATACATATTTGGAGTAATTTGAATTTGTATATCTAATAAAGTACACATAATACAGCATATAACTCATATGTGCCTGTAAAGAATTTTAAATGATATGAATTTAATAAGAAAACGAAGAGCTGTTCATGTCCAATATTAGAAGTTATTTATATTTTACGTCCGATACCTATTCTGGATTGAATAAAAATTTCCGCAACCGGGAGTGGGAAATATATTCGAATACTAGAGCATCTCGAATTTGTAAGATATATAGTGGCAAAACTCATTTTAAAATGTATATTAAAATTTTTCAACGATTTGAAATACCTATATCGGTGTTAAAGGTGCGTTATTTATTATTGCTATAATCTATAATACATACGCCTTAAGGGACCGGAAAAAGTGTACATTTTTACTACCGACTTACATATACATTTGATAATAGTAATAAAACTGTATAGTATGATATTATATTATGTATAGGTAGTTTATTCTGCTGATATTATAAATAATTATATGTGACGATGTACAATCACATATTATATTATAATAATATATTGCTTTCGTTTCTAGGTGAGACTGGTTCAAAAGAAAGACACTGGTCATATATACGCCATGAAAATCCTACGCAAAGCCGACATGCTTGAAAAGGAGCAAGTGGCTCACGTCCGTGCAGAAAGGGATGTCCTCGTCGAAGCTGATCACCAGTGGGTCGTTAAAATGTACTATAGTTTTCAGGTAACTATTTCCTCGCGTCGGATGTTTGCGAATGAATAATTAATTGTACGCCCCAAACCGCTTTGGTGTGGTGACCACGTGTATATCGACCGTGGTATAGAAAAAAAAAATGTACAAAAGGACCTTTTCATAAAATATTAATAATAAAACCCTACCTCTTGACTTTTGCCAGGATCCAATAAACCTTTACCTTATAATGGAGTTCCTGCCCGGTGGTGACATGATGACGTTACTAATGAAAAAAGATACACTCAGCGAGGAGTGTACGCAGTTTTATATCGCCGAAACTGCGTTGGCTATTGATTCTATACACAAACTCGGATTTATACACAGGTTCGATAGATTATAATGTTAAAGCGCGTGCGCAGTCTTGTACTTGTACAAGAATTTATTAAAATTATTTAAAATACTTCAAATAAGCGTTAAAAAAAGTTTATTATTTTTAAATTTGGAATCTGTTCATAATGTTGTTGATACTTTAATATTATTCTTGTGCAATTATTTTTTATTAGATTTAAAATGTTAGCCTTTAAATATACGTCTTGTTGTATTGGAAAACTTTACAAGACTGCGCGTGACATTCGTATCATTTATATACACATATAACATATACCTACGTATATCATACATACGTTTGGGTGTACTAATTTGGTTGTTTGACTCGTACAGGGATATCAAACCCGACAATCTACTACTAGACGCCAGGGGCCACATAAAACTGTCCGATTTCGGATTGTGCACCGGCCTGAAAAAATCGCACCGGACCGATTTCTACAGAGACCTGAGCCAGGCCAAACCGTCGGATTTTAGTGAGTGCATAATGTCGAGAAAAGTCAACGGCATGCCCAACTTATATTTAGGTTTTTTCTGTTCGCCAGCATCGAGTCCGATGGACAGCAAACGGCGTGCGGAGAGCTGGAAGAGAAATCGCCGGGCGCTGGCCTACAGCACCGTCGGCACGCCGGATTACATTGCACCCGAAGTATTCCTCCAGACCGGTTACGGTCCTGCTTGTGATTGGTGGAGCGTCGGTGTCATCATGTACGAAATGCTAATCGGTGAGGAATTCGTGCCTATATAGTTTTCATTCTTATTATTTAGTGTTTATTTAACTTAGTGCCGAGACGCATAGAGTTTTTGTATAGACTATGCAATTACCATGTCATTTGTCTATATGATATTATACTAAACAGTTTTCCATTTATTTATCATCCTAAAAACGTTCATGTTTTCGTCTTAAGCGTTTACCTGTAATACACTGTATAACGGTTTTAGTTTTTTATAGTTATTTTTTTTTTTTATTTTATTGAATAATCTATCATTATATAATGACTCTATATTATATAGTGACTGCATCTTTATATGACTTTATGTCTTACGACATAGTTAATTTGAGGTTTTTTTTTGTAAATGTCATGTTTCAAATTTTCTTTCAATGTTCATATTTTATAATTAATTCCCAAATGTTCACGTTTTTAAGTCTCTCTTTCTAAGTTCAATCTTGTTTGTTGGAGTCATTAATTTTCTTTTTACTGCCTTGGTATAGACAGATCATAATATAAGATTTATGATGGTAATATTTTCACCTATTTGATGTTAAATTAGTTTTAAAAAATATTTAAATGCTTTCAAAACAAACAACGTGTACCATAAAAGCATTAATTACACAATATTATTGAAACACCAGTGAAATATCTTATATTTTTGATTAATTATTTTTTTTCCAAACAAATCCCGTGACTTTAGATTCTATTCATTAAGCTATAACACTTCTCTCTTGTACACACATTATTTAATATATGTATTTCCATATTGCCATCCACTTAAGACTTACACCTTCATAATTGTATGTCGTATAGTTGCATACGTGTTTGTGTGTCCATCAACATACATAATGAAACGAAACTTGCGCATGAAACAATTACTGACTGCGATTATAATTAATAATACACAGTGCAGAGTTCCTTTATTGTAATCACGTTCCACGTTTGTTTAAAGAACATGTAAATGTAAAACGTGATCAATACTTTAAATATCCTTTGCGTTTTCAGCAGTATGTATATCAAATACCTTTTGAAACTAATTTTTACGTGTCACTTGGTTTTTTTCCTACATTTTTTTTCATGATAGAAAGAACTAGACACTGTTAAAAAGTTTGGATATTGATATAAACTAGAGAGGTTTTCAACTCCAAAGGGGGACAGCAGCGGATATATTATGAAGTATTGAAATTACACATATATCATTTATGTGGAGCTTTTAACAAATTAATAATAATACTATAAATGCTATAATAGTAAAATACATTATCCATACCGTTGCTGACCGGTCTCGTTCGTTTACAGGGTACCCGCCGTTCTGCAGCGAAAATCCTCAGGAGACGTACAGGAAGGTTATGAATTGGCGGGAGACGCTGAGCTTCCCTGCCGAGGTGCCCATCAGTGAGGAGGCACGCGACGCCATCTCCCGGTTTTGTTGCGAATCAGACCGCCGTCTCGGCTACAGCGGCCGCGGCATCGACGACCTCAGATCAACGATAGCGTTCTTCCGTGGCGTCGACTGGGAGCACATCAGAGAACGGCCGGCCGCCATACCTGTCCAGGTCAAGTCCATCGACGACACGTCCAACTTCGACGACTTCCCGGACGTCAAGCTCGAAATACGTGAGTTCCTATATATAGTACAACGGCGACGACCGATGTGGTTGTCGCATGTCCGCTGTGTATCGTTTTACTAATCCATTTGTTTCCCGTGTCTCTTCCAGCGTCAGCACCGATATCGCAAGACGGTGAAGTGATCTACAAAGACTGGGTGTTCATCAACTACACGTTTAAGCGGTTTGAGGGGCTCACTCAGCGGGGCATAGCTACCAAAAAGTGATTTTAAATATCGTTAACGATAGTGCAATGTGATATTTTTATCTAACCTCCTACGCTTTTCTCCTTTTCCCACCAACCAACATCCCTCTGTACTCCTCCCCCCTCAACACCCTACCCCGACCCATCCCCTGATCCACACACTACAAATCCTCCAACATCCCTATCACCATTAGTTGGCATGCAGACTTTATGATCTCAAGAAGAAAAGGGTTTTCTTCTCAGCGATGAAAAAAAACCAACTGAAGATTCCAAAGACCAAATGTTTTTTTTTTAAATATATATATATGAATATATATTATATATTATATATATATATGATAACCTGTGTGATCAACGATGATGCATAGTTGTTATCCATTCACCGTCAAACATATATACAAAACCAATCGATATATTGTGTAGCGTTAAATTTCAATGTTCTTAATAATATGTTACTTGATATTATTTTTGCACACTAAAATTATCTCTTAAGCTTCATCTAGTCAACTCCTTCGTTTTTTTTTCTTTCTCTCGAACAATATTCGAAATTTGAATCCATAAACACGTTAGGTAAGAATCTTATATTTACCGTAACACGTTCGGCATAACCACGGCAAAGATATATAAAACAAATAATAATATTAATTAACGTGAGATATAGGTGAAAAGACGTTATATAGCGTGTACATATTATATTGGTGTATATATATATATACCGTAAACACAATACCATACCTACTGTAATGATCACCGTGGGTTGTGTGTATATATATTATTATATAGTGTTATATACTATTCGTGTACATAGTCTGGTGCACTGGTGCCGCTGGTGCTCAGGCGCGGTCATTCCACAACCACCTGCGGGGAATGCGAACGTCTATAAATATTGTCCTAGTGCACATCATCGTTCGAGGGGACGTCGAACGTTCCGGACAATATATTAGGTATATTTTAATATATTTTAGTAAAACCGTCCGAGACTGGCCCTTTGACGAGTGTAAAAAATAAAAAAATTTAAAAAAAAAAAGTTGATTATTACGCACTTTTAGCATGTTCCTATAAACTATAGGTAGTGGTAGCCAATGAATAATTTATTTAATTAATCATCGGACAACAAGGCCGAAAGCGATTGACCCCGGGACAGGTTAGACTTAAGATTTGTTTGATTATTATTAATTTCTCGATCTGAATATTTTGTTTGTTTACGCGTAGACGTTAGTTTTAACAGTTGTGATATTCGCAAAGTTAATTATTATTGTTTGTTCGTAATTTTTTTTATGATTATTATTATTACTACTATTAATTATTATTATTATTATTATTATTATTATTATTATTATTACTACGAACATGACGCTGTTTATCGTTTTTTATGTGGTGGTTTTATTTAATCGTAAAACCGTCGTCTTCTCAATACTCCGCATTAGACCACTATCTGATTAGAGTCGAAAGCTGTCATATTATATTATTATATATTATATATAAATATATTATATTTTTCAGTACCTATGTAAATTTCAATTTTAAAGCGTGTATATTTTTTTTCACTTATTATTTTTATTTATTGTTTTTTTCTGTTCTCGAAATGTCGTTAAATGTTTTTTTTTCTGTGTGTAAATATGAATGGAAACGCTTGACGCCAATGTTCAAATAAACACCATCATCTATGTCGTGTGATACCTCCCGATTAGAATGTATTATTATTTGGACGGCGTGAGGCGTTAATTGATAAATTTCGATGTATTTTAGTTAAATATTAATTTAATAATAATAAAAAAATAAATAAACAAAAAAATTTCTAAAAAACAATGTATATTGCTATTTTATGTTATAATGTAAAACATTATATTATTATGTGTATTATCGAATAGTACAAAAGTTAGACGTACTGTCGCCTTCCCCCTACTGATTGAATAACGCCATTCAAATTCCCGAAAATGTATAGAATATATTATGATACAATATACAATATAATATACAAGATTTACAAGAAAGAAATTTGAGTGCATCGATATACGTATCGGTTAAATATTGAGCGTTCGAGAAATTAAAGAATGTGCGATTTACCAGAGAAACGTACCGATGACCCATATTGGACGAGGGTCTTGTATCGGTACTTAACTATACGTACCTACCGAATTTTCTTCTTGAAAATCTTGATATTTTATTATCTATTTTTACGTACCTATTGTTTGTAACTTGGGCAAAGTTATAGCCACGTTGTTATAATATTATGTCGACACTGTTCGCAATGTTTGATATTATGTGTTTGGCTATCTGCAAGTGCTTGTAAACGAAACAAAATAAGCTGAACATTTTGTTTAAAGTATTTACATAATATACCTACAATATAAACGTATATATTATTATCAAGACTATTTGTTACCGTTTTGTTTTTACATTTTACCTTTTTTTGTTTTTCCTCATTCCCTATGCAATAAAATAATAAAAAGCTGGCAAGTTGGTAACCGCTATTTTATTTAATACCGTACTTACTACTTTGTAAACCCTAATATTAATAGTTGAACACTTGTAAGTTGTAACATTATTATACCCTATTTTTCTTTAAAAAAATGTATTGTTACTTAAATGCGTGTACGACATATCTGTATAATATACTTAACTATACTTAAGATTAATAAAACGCAATGATTACATATTTAAAAAATCGGGCATGTAGGTAACCGCATTGATGTACAGTAAGTCAGTAAGTAAGTATGTGGAGTGTACCTCGGCATTGAGTAGGTTACTGTAATGAGTGTGTTAAATTTTAATTCAATGATAGATCATTTCATACGAAAAACGATTCTGAGCGGAGATGGTATATATACTTCACCCTACATTATTAAGTACCAATAGGTATTTTATAATTCACCACATCTAGTAATTTATTTTACAATTAGTAACACGGTCTATAGGTTGAACTAATATTTGCCGAAAACCTCGCATTTATTCTGTTATAAATTATTATAATAGAATATATTATATAATGTATCATAAATTATTGTTATTAACTATTGAGTATTTGAGTGAATATAGACTTACCGGTTACCGTTAGGCGTAGATAGGTCGTGTGGATAGGTTCGTGGTACGAATAGGCAATAATCAAATTAAATATTTTGAAAATGTCAGTGTGTATAGTAAAATATAGTAATGTACATAAAAGTATCAAATCCCCACGAATATAATATTTTTGAATGAAAAAAAAAACTAAAATTATTTGAAAAGAAATCCTTATTTTATGCTTCAAAATCAAATTTCATCTAAATTTGAACTTCAGATGGTCATTAAAAGAATATTGTAGATTTACCCTCAATTTTTTTTTTAAATTTCAGTTTTAACAATTTATGAGGAACCTTGTAATTACATTTCCGAGCCTTTTGACCAAGCAAACATTTTTTTATCGACATTATAGAAAAATAAATGGCATGCTACTTGCTACTAGATATTTTTCCTCTTAATTGTTTTCTTAATTTTTCTTAATACATGTTTTTGGGCAGAATGCAGTTTAAAAATATTTAGTAGCATGCATAATTTTTTTTTTTTGTGTTTCTATGGCAATAAAAAAACCATTACGAAAATCAGTTTGAAAAATAAGGTTGTGCCCTGTCCAAAAACATATTATATATGTTAAAAAATCTAAAAACAAATTTAAAGTTTTTATAAAATGCAAATAAACATCTCAAAAAGAGTCAAAATATTTTTTTAAATTATCCCATAAATGATAAAAATAAACGTTTGGAAAAAATGTCAATAGTATAACTGTACGTATATTAACTAGGTTTTGAATTACAAAAAAATTGATTTCGTTGAAAACTGGTTTGTCATAGAAATTGTTTCCGTTTCCCCTAATTTATTTCCCAAGTTTTAATAAGAGTTCTGTGAATTGTTTGCTTTTGATCTAAAATAAAGCAAATAATAATTATACTAATAGGTATATAATAGAAACATGAGTAGTTGGTATGGCTTATATTATATTTATACTGCGTAAGTTGTAGATACCTACCTACCTATATATAAATTAAAAAGTATGTCATTATTGTCATTTCCACGTTACATTAATAATAGTAATAATATATTTCTGCAGGTATTATACTTTACCGCGTTTGAAGTAAACTATTATTCTACGAAAATTAAAACAATGCAATACTTTAAAATGTCTACTCGGGTATAAAAAAAAAATTCAATGGGTATCCCGTTCGCTCTAAAAGCATATACACACATACGCATACATTTGTATATATAGTACTATTTGATTTTTTTTTATCTTTTAATTAAAAGTAGGTATAAATCGTGTGTTTTTTTACTGTGTAGTTGCATTATAATAATAAATCGATGTTTAATAATTGTAATGAAAAAACTTTTTACTCAATCGAACAAATATAAATTAACAAATCTACTATTATACCTATACCTAGGTATACCTATTGCAGAATGCGAACGGTTGCAATACGTTGCTACGTTTTATACACTAAATTATTTTTTTTTCCATTATCAATGTGTTTAAAATATCAATTAATGATAAAAAAAAAAAAAATGTCAACAGTATGTGGGACTGGTCTTTTTTTTATTGTAACTAACCTACGTACCTATAAATGGTCTCTAAATATACGAATGTTAAAATATATCTATATACCAATACTGCAGATGACTGATTAGTATTAATAATTGATTTATATTCGAAATATTCAAAATCATATAAATTTAGTAAAATATGCAAACATATTATACAACATAATTTTTTTAATTTTTGTATTTCGATTATATGCATTATGAAACGAATTCGGAATCAGATTTTTAATACTCAGCTTCCTGAGAAATATGTAAATGCATGAAGTTCCGAGCCTATGGGAGTGATTACTAACCTTTTAGATTCTGAACGTAGCGGTGAATGTATTGATTTTATAATGATGTGTTTTTTTTTTGTCTGAAGACACTTTTTAAAATATAAAAAAAATGCTTCAATTTTAAACTTTCAAGGCGGTTTCTGGTTGCAAATTGTACCTATCTAGTTGGTACTTTGGGGAGTCATAAGTAAAAAACGCTCAGTAATTTTCAAAATACGCAGGAATTACAAAAAAAAATATATAACCTTGGTAACCAAAAAGTTAAACCAACGACGCTCGATACCTTTTTAATTGTATATAAATTTAAGGAAAATTCAACACGTTTGTTACAGTGACCTACTAAATGACCAAGTACACTCGACTTCTATTATTCTATACCTACAGCAGAGTGGTTACCTACTTGACGACTTATTTTACATTACATAGATATAAGTAGGTACAATATAAAAAAAAATAGGTGAAATGTGAAAATAATTATAGTAAATTCAACTATAAATTATATAACAAATCGGAAATGTCGCACTGGTGTACAGTATTATTAAACCAGTAACATCAGTAACATTAAACCTTCGTTATTGAGTGTAGGACCACTTACTGTAATGGATGTGCCAACTTGCTTTTAATTCAATGCGATGGATCATTAAACGAAAAGGGAATTTTAGCGGTGTGCCTCTGATATTTGATAATTTATTTATATTACTGTAAGAAATTTAATTTTCCATACTACTCATGTCGTAGTACCTCCGCTGGGAGGCCTCTACATTCCATCCAATCTGTCTTTATATTTTTATTTTTATTATTTAGCATTTTAACCCATCAATTGTTCTTATTGTTCTTCTTTGTAAAAGATTGAATAAAAAAATATATAAATCAAAAAAAAAAGAATTGTCCATAGTTATAATATTAAGTAAGATGGACGATTATTCCCAAAAACTTGGCATATACCTAATACTAAATTGTATGTTATGTATCATTATCATTAACTTAAGTAATTTTCGTATTCTTGGTATTTATTATAAAAATGTTAAATCAATAAATTGGTCTCCCTTAAATCTTGTTAACACAAATTATTCAAGATTGAGCAATTACCTAAAGGAATAGTGCCGCAAGTCGATACGCTGTTGTTATAATATTATAATTACTTTATAGTTAATAGGTAAGTACCTATGTAACGTTTAGTTCAATAACTGGCCATGATTTCCAACTGGAGATAATATGACTACATAATAAATAATATTAATTTCCGGTACAGCTTCTTGTTTTTACACAAACTTCAAGGATGGTTTACACATTTTTTTTTTTTTTTTTTTAAAGCAGTATATAAATAGGTGCACATAAAATAATAAGTCATAGTAGGTAAGTTATCCGCGTATTCTCTGTTCAACGTTTCAAAAGCAGTTTTGATCCAAATAACTTTTTCGATACTTTACAAACTTTTCGAACTATTTTATTAAATTACATAATATGATCTAGTCAGTAGGTAATCTTCGAGTGAAACTTTTAATAGAAACGTTTATTTCTTTAGCTTTTAACCTCAAAACGATATAGTTCGAGGGCGATCATGCAATTATTGGGCAAATTTCAAATCATCTTCGTCTTGTTGTCATGTGTTATATTTCTTAACGCGTGTGATTATGTCACTTGTCTGAATGCTGTAAGTAAAGACTAATATTTCTCGTTTTAATGTCAAGTTTAATGTTTGAACTCGTATTTTAACGTACCGTAACGTCATGATGCATTACAAAATAAATGCCAAAAATGTTTTTTTTTTTTTTTATTTGTATTAAGTAAATCGAGTAATTCAATAGGTGTTATTATTTTTCATGATATATAATATTTCACTAACAAAACTTGTGTGTATAACAGATATAACTTAGTTGTTCTTTACAACTATCCACACTATTCACACTATCCACAGGTCTGATAGCATAAAAAGGGCTATTAAAATATTTTGGGAGAATTGCGAATGAGGTATTGACATACGTCTACAACGGCTTATAACGTATATTAAGTTATCAATGAAAACTATTTTATTTAAATTGATAATATCTGCAGTGTACTTATCCCTGTTTTAGGTTTACTATATATTTATGAAATTTTTTTTTAACCGGGAACAGATAGGTCTTTTTCGCTTATGCAGTACATTATTCTTCTTGTCGGCCTTGCATAACATTATTTCGATAATTTTTACGCCAAACTAGTTTTTGACGAAATCGATTTTATTGTTTAAGTGAATACTTAAAACAGCGGACCGTTAAAAGTAAATTTAATTTTTTATGTCTAGATTATACACATACTATGTGTAATACGCTATAATAAGTTCATTATTATTAATTTATAGAAAAAAATGTAATTCCAGTCAAAGTTAAACTGAATGTTAAAGATATACTTGTTATTGTGTTACTCAAAACTTGTGTACTTGTAATGTTCTCCACATGGTGAAAACTTAAAACAATTTTCCTTATAAGCACTTGAAGTTTACTCATTTTGACAAAATTCGTCAAAATGTGAAAATGTGCAAATTATTTTGTAGTTAAAAATGTATACTGTGACTTTCAATTTTCAGAGCTATGGCTTAAAAATATAATACAACCGAATTTGGTCTTCCCGTGGGGCGTTGTTTCGCTGAACAGAGTAGGTATTTATAGTGTTTTCAAAAGCAACGGGAAAACAAAAAAAAAAAAATTAAGAAAAAAAGGATTTGACGTAAAACCAGTTTTTGACTAAATCGGTTTTGGTTTTTTGCTGTAAATCAAGAAAAAATTAACTGTAAGTACCTAGATGGGTGCATAAAAATGTATTAAATTATAAATTATTAACATTGGACAAATGGGCGTCTTCTATAAATATTTATATTTATTTTAACCATGAATTTAATTCAAGAAGGCCGTAGGTATTATATCACTTTTATCGATGTCATTATCGGGAAATATTTATAATTATTCTAAAAAAGTGGTATTTCATTATTCGGCTTTTAACAACGTTAATCAAAAAATATTTATAATTATTTTAGTGCAATAAGGACGTATTTCATTATGCTGCGATATTGTTGTCAACAACTAAAAAGTATATTTAAAAGGCTACATTTCGTTTTACGGCTTTATTGCTATCAACTATCAATGTTTCAGTACAATAAGTTTATTTCAATAACAGAAAATGTAACAATAATTACATAGATAGCGCTAAAAAAAAATATAAATACAAATTCAGGGACACCAAAAACTAAAAATTGTCTATATATATATTTTGGTGACTGACCGTGCGAATATATCATAAAATATACTTAGTTAGGTAATATAGATCGTCTTCGCATAGAATCGTTTTTTGTATGCAATGATTCATCATTGAATTCAAATTTAACACATATATTGCATGGTACGACTACGAGATACAGTCGACACCTACTTGTAGATCATAGCGGGTACCAACTTTTTTTTGTTCATAAATAAACCTGGTTTTTGTGGCTTAATAATCTATAAACTTTTCCTGCACAAAGTGAATCATGATATACTTCCTTATTCTGGCTGTGGGCGGATCAGCTATTGTCGTCGGAAAACGTGTAGGTATTATTGTTTTCTATAGATTTAGCTCACATGTTTTAATCACATTTCCATTTAAAATCAAAACCGAGGAGAAAACGCCATCTAATGGACCATTACCCGTGTTCCTGAATAATCCGCAACGAAAAACATATTACAAATACACCATTGAAAATAATTTCAATGCAAAGTATAAATAATTGTGTTATAATATGTAAAATTAAATTCAAAGAATAAAGTATTTTTCTCCTCGATGAAAATTAATGGTGGCGCCAAGTGTACAAAATAATACACAATGCCTATAAATTATATAGTATTATGTAATATGCATCATGTATTATATTAATTATTAACACGGAAATAATATGATACGAACTATCAACCTGAAGGATATCTTATAGTTAAAATTACTATAAATCGTACATTTTAAAAGAAAAAATAAATAAATAAGTGGTGTATTAAAGTATTAATATTTCCTGCAAAACACATTATAATATTACTTAACCAGGGACTCATGAAACTATAAAAGTCACGTTTCAATAACAAATCATACATATTAATAAATAAATTATAATTAAATAAATACATTTTAAATTAAATATTTTATAAATATGTCTCAGTGATAAAAAATGCATCCCCTCTCAGAATTCATCATCGGATTGTGGTATGAAGACTTCATAATGTTTTCTTGCCAAACAGGTTTATTTTTCATGCATTTAACTCAATACGAAAAACAACCGCCAACTTGGAGTATTGTGATAAATTCGATAATATGCACCACAGTCTAGCGATATAAGTTCCATACGACTTGTTCATAAAATAATGGATAGTTATGGAATTTAAGCATTTTTGAAACAATTATAGTTCTATTATTGTCCATAACATACACGTTCTGTTGTAGAATCATAAACATATGTTATAGTTATTATTCAAATAGTTGTGATCGCCTAACTTTATTTATAAGTTAAGTTATAATTGTTTTAAAGTCGCAAAGAATTGAAGGATTCGGATATCCGTTGGAGACGTATGAAGTTTGGACCGACGATAGGGCTCATTTGGGCTTAGAACGAATACCGCATAATGGCAACAAAGTTATCGGAAGACCCGTTCTTTTAATGCACGGAATGTTTTCAGATTCAGTTGTATTCGCAGCACAGAACTCGTCACTGGGTGAGTAACTTTATTTTTGAATGTTTTTATGGTTAACGGAAATCGCATAATTTGTTGTCAATATTTCCTCTTACCTATATTTTGTTCATTATTAAAAAAAAAAATCAAAAACAACTTTAACAACACTTTTTAAATCTTTAAAGAGTGAAATATTGATTTATAGTGATATTTAGACTTCGGATTTATTTGTAAATATATAACATATTTTCACTGTGACTTGATAAACTATTTTAGGCGATTGATAAACATTTGTTTAACATTATTTTTACTAATTTTAACACATATAACTTGTTACCAAATATAGTGGGGGTGGCACTCTTGAACAATTAACCGGACATGGCTAAAACCTACTGGTGCCTAAATTCTGTCAAACGGGAGACCAAACTAGGACTTCACTAGGTACTTCAGTCATAAAATTGTCGAACGGAAAAATAACTGTGGGAATAATCGTCGCATTTATGATTTCTGGTAATCAATAGACGCTCAGACAGTGCCTTCACACTAACACACTATTATATATTATACATGACTGTCATGGTGTATAATATATTCACGCCAAACAAATATTTAATACAACTCGGAAGCCTCCAACTTAATTCGGCAAACAATTAACGCATCGATAGTACTTTTATGATAAATGACAATACATTTAGAACTAACGGACTTGACGGTCCCTATCCCTCTACTCGACAATGTGTTTATACGACACTTATACTTCAGTAATAATAATTTATCATTGTATTCTCCTATTATTGTCAAAGTAGAGATTAGAACAATACGAATTGTTTGACTTTAGGTTTCGTACTATCGGATGCCGGTTTTGACGTTTGGTTATACAATTCCAGAGGTACCGGTCTTTCAAGAACACTCAGTATTTATAAGGGACCTGGTTCACTACCAAACATGAATAGAGTATCGTGGGATTTTAGGTAAAATATTTTGTATATTACTTAACATTAAAATCACTATGGTGTTTTTGCTTTGATTTTTTTATTAATACAACATGAAATCAAATACATTACGATTTGCTTAAACAGTTAAACATTGAAATAGAAGCGGTTTGCTTAAATTTTTCAGTCTTTAGTCTTAAGTAAAGTGTCATTTTTAAGAAGTTGTGTTTAGGCAATTATTTCGTTCCTGCGATTAATGATCGTCTTTATGAGTGTAGTAAATTATCATTAGTGTGTGTATACACTATACCCCTACCATCACCCGTGAACCGCATCAATTTACAATACATTGTTATTTCTTATCTGGTTTGTAGTCACCCTCACGCACATGACAAGTCATTTAATGTCTAGAACAGAATATTCAAAACCAATTTATGGACCTGAAATAGCCGTCGCACTGACAAAAATTAAGGTACTTCTAGTGGTTCGATTTAAAAAATGTAAAGATGATTGTGGTGGTAAACAAGTTTACTTTGCATCGGTAGGAGCGCTTTTTCAATTTTAGCAAATTCTTGATGAGAATAAATATTTTATAATTTATAAATATATACATTTTTAGTGTATTGAATATATTCAAAAATATCTAAAATATAAAAAATATGCTCCGACCGAAAGTAGACTTGTTGACCAATTAAAGCATCTTTACATTTTTTAAATCTAACCACTAGAAGTACCTACTTTCATTTTTGTCAGTCGCTAAGGTCGTTTTGATGAAAAATGAATAGGGTTTGCAGGGGCCTTAATTTGAATATTAGAGTCTGAGATCGGTTTGATCAATAACCAATATTAACCTTCTAAATCAACAAAAAATATAATTTAAAAAATGTATGTATTTACACTCCAACACTGGGTTTGGAAAGAGACTATAATATAGGAAATAAAATAAATATAATGTCTATCTATTCTACTCCTAAGTCCTAGTTTTCAAACTTAAAGGCATTCCGGTAAACTTTTCAAAAGTTCTTACTTCTCTGTAGTGATGACTTCAGTTTTCCTTTCTATTAAATCTTCCAAACTTGTCAAATTACCGTGAAACAGACTCGATTTATTAACAAAATTGTTTTTCACAGAATAGTTCGTCATTAAAGCCAGAAAAGTTTTGAATGTTGAACTTTATTATTCGTGTAGCGTGACGAAAAACCATTAAAACGGAAAATAAAGATTAGACATTGGTTATACAAAATGAATATCCATTAATATTTTTAAATTTATTATACGTATTATGTATTGGTATTGTAATTGATTTTTCAATGCTGAAGCTTTACTTCTGGTTCATGCTATTATTGATATCACAAGATCAATTTTAGACTACTGCTCAGCTATTTGGTCTATAGAGTAGGTACATATAATGATATATTAGGTACTCGGTATTGTTATTAAAGGTTATCAGTAATTATTTTATACGATTCTTATCCTATAGAATTATTTGACTTCCACAGAGATAAATTATACATTTTTTGAACCATTATTATGTACCATTATACCTACCTGTAACATAATTTACAAATTCCAATTTTATCTAGAGTTTTTGTTTTTATATTTTTGAAGCAATATAATGGATATTTTTTTTTTCGAAGAAAATTTTGCAAAATAAACTTGAATATTTATACATCATTATTTATCCCTGAGTAAACTATAAATCGTTGCTGTAATTTATGTATGATTTACCTATCCCTAGGTGTGACGTCCTTTTAATTTTAGAACAAACAGCAAATAGAAATATACATTCGATAAACAAGAAATGTGTATCTTTTTATTTCTACAACCTAATACTGTTATTGTAATTTTTTTCAAGTGTGTAGTATATAGGTGTTACCATAAGTTATTATTTCAGATTGAATACTATGCCCATCTATACATATTTAATAACCTAAAGTATACTAATACTATATAATGCACGAAAATAATATATTATAAATCCTACTACCCCAGTTGATTGAAAACATGTTTTTTTTGTTTAATGTTCTAGTTTTCACGAATTGGGTGTCTACGATTTGACCGCAGTTATAGATTTCATTCTGAAAAAAACTGAATATTCTAAACTGGACATTGTTGGGTACTCCTTAGGAGCAACTGTAGCCTTTGTTTGCTTGTCCGATAAGCCAGAATACAACGATAAGGTCAACAAACTTGCACTCATAGCCCCAGCGACTAATTTTAAAACGTCACCGGTCACTGCCATTGCTAAGCAGTTTTCAGAAATTGTATTGGTAATTTTATAATATTTTGTCATACAACAAATTAAAACCTATGTAGAACATATTTTACACTCGAAAATCTGATAACATTATCGCTGGACAACTACTATAAATAAGAGTATGAATAATATATATTCCAATATATATATGGTCAGGCACTTTTTCAATTGTCAATTTACTCTCTAGATAAAGGATCATTAGGATGCAAGATGGAGACCAGACAAATTTTAACTTTTGTTATAATCAAAATTTTTTAAATTTTTTTTCATACAATTTCCTGACTTGTTTGCTACACGTATAATATAACATTTTTTATTTTTATGTTTTAATACTGAAAATCAAAAATTTAAAATCTGATTTACATTTTATTTTGAAAATTACAAAATATCAAATTTTCACATCTCATTTTTATAAAACTTTTGATTATAAAAATATTTTTTCTAAGACAAGTGGATTAATTTTTTTATGATTTTTTGAAATGTCTTATTTTTATTAAGTAAGACTCATTAATTTGAAAAGTAAAAAATTAAAGAAAAAAGTTTAGATTTATAGGTTTCTATATTTAAATATTCTCATAAAATATATTTAAAAAGTTAATACTTTTTGAATTTTAAATATTTTTTACGATACGATCAATTTTTCAACAAAAATGGATACCAAACAGATTTTATTTATTTATTTTCTGTGTTAAAAAATAAAAATTACGTGTAACGCAAGGGTCTGTAAATGATATAAAAAAAATAATTAAAAAATATTGGTTAGAACAAAAATATTTTTCATTTATCAGGTCTTCCTGTTACATTCTGTGTACTCAAAATCTAAGTCCTATACAGGCTAAAGTTTTTAATATCATTGAAATTAAATATGCATTTTTAAAATGAAGTATATACTATATCAGCTATAATATATAATATATACCTTCATATATTAATATGATCCAATTGTAAATTATAAAAACATTTAAAAATAAGTTTACTAAATTAAATTAAATGAAGTCTATTGTAAATGCTGGATTATTATTATTTTGTACGAGCCTAAATAATTTAATTTAATTTTTTTAGATAATCTTGAATGGATTAGATTTCTTCCCATTTACCGTGGATCCAGACACTACGTTAAGTAAATTAAGAAACATGTGTGCAAATGAAAGCGTCTTAATGAGTTGTAAGAGGTTTATCGACGTACTGGATGGAGTTGTCTTACCCATTGACAACGTATGTACTTAACACTATACTATACAAGACAAATGTTTAAAGAGCTGCTAAAAGTATCACCAAATAATAAATTACTGATCTAATTAAGAACAAACCTATAAACTATTTTTATGTTAAAAATGTTGAAATTCCATTGTTCCAACAAAAAACGTTCACTTGAACTTAGTTGAAATATGTAGTTCATACCAAAATAAAGCTATATCGCTGTTTCTGCTGTTAACACTAATTGTTTGTTCAAAAGTTCAAAAACATCTTTTAACTTCTTAGCTTAAATATGATCATGCACGGTGTAGGGTATTTATACTTCAATCATCTTTGCTAAACTTTCTACGCTCTAGAGTCTAGACAACTAACGCTTACCACAAGGTAATGGGAACTCATTTCATTTTAAAAATGGTAGAATTTATTAAATTAAATATTAAAACAAAAAAGCGGGTAAGCGAATGTCGCTCTGCTGTACAGTAGGTTACAGGTGGGTCATTGTATAATGGATTGAATTAAACTTGAATTCAATGATATAATATCATTGTATAAGAAAAACGATTCTGAGCAGAGACAGTTTGTCAGTCTGGATATTTTATATTGATATTATTTATTATAATACCATGTAAGTTGAATTAATATTATAATATTTATATTTTTTATTCGTTTCTCTGGTGATAAACAAAGCGTTAGAAATCAAAATCCCATTTTTAGCAGTTTTTTGTAATTTTTCGGTGGTTTTTTCCGTGGCATTAAATAACTGTTGATAAATTCTAACCTCTCTGAAGTACCATCTTGATCCAATTTGCTAAAAGTTAAGGTACTATATGTTGAAATCGAAGCACTCCTTCTGGTAGAAATTTTGTATACAGGATATAAAAAGAAGAAAAAAAAATAAACACCATTGTAAAACCACTAGCTTCCTCGCTCCTCTCAGAATCTAAAATAACTTGGAACATAAATTTCTTAACTAAAATTATTCCAATAGTCAAATAAATAATCTAGAAAAATATCTGAAGTTAATTTCAATATTGATATTTTTTCGTCTTACTAGAAAAAGATTATTTTAAAAATAATTGTGTCAAATATGCTTTATGTTTAGAACTCCGTTTTGGACTTTGCTGCTGCATTTCCACAACCAGTGTCATCTAAACTGTTGAAACATTACCTTCAAGTAGTAATGAAAGGCAAGTATACAATATGAAAACGGTTGTAAAACGTTTAATTTCCAATTTAAAACAAAAACTAGTCACATCATATAATGTTTACTATTTAATAATGTCACCATTTTACAATTACCATAATGCACACTTCCTCGATCCACACACTTAACACACATATCTACGTCTTTACAATTCTCATTCAAAATTGGTTAAGCCCATATACTTATATGGGTTCCTACATCGTAAATAAATCGCAGTTCTAATTTTTTTTTTTTCAGACAAATTTAGTCATTACGATTATGGGACTTCTGGAAATTTGCTGCGTTACAATAAAATAATGCCACCAGAATATAATTTGTCCAAAGTTACAGTACCCACATTTGTTATAAATTCAAAAGCTGATTATCTATCTACACCAAAGGTAATTTACTAACAATAATTTTACAAAACATTTATTACAATAACCAAAAATATTAAACTTGATGTTTAAAATGTTTAAGTTAAAATAACTTTTTACTGACAGAAAGACAAAATGTATTCAAAGACAACCTACTTATAAGTTAACACTGCAGTTGACGCGACTTTTCCTTTTTTTAGTCCCAGCGTTTAAAACACCATAAACAACCCGATATCTTCGAATACTAGTTTTGCGTAAATATTCGGATTTTTCCTTAATTCTATATTTTGTTTTTCTCAATTATTTTAAATGGCACAATAGTACCTACTGTGAATATTTGAAAACCTAAAGTATCAACGCATTCTTCATTTCTACCAGCAACTGCTCTCAAAGTTGATAATGAAGCATTTTTACTACTCCAGAAGCCAGAAGGTTAGGTTAGAGTCTAACCTTTTTTTTTATTATTATTTTTGAATTAAGTCAGTCTAACCGTTAAACTTAGATAATATTAAAAATAAAAAAATAAAAAAAACATAAACATTGTAAAACCAATTCATCCTACCACTCAGAATTTAAATCAAAATTTATGTTTATAATATACATTTATTATATTCATTAAGTAATTTAAACACTTAGAAAAATAATTTTATTTTTTCAGGACGTAAAAAGGCTCACAAATTTGTTACCAAATATTAAGGAAGTGAGTTATATTGACCAAGTACAAGGTGGTCATCTCAGTGTTGTAATAAATCCAAATACAAGAGAAATCGTGAACTCGTTTATAGCAACTAAATTATTAGATTAAAGTTTATGATCTTACAGAATGTGTTTTGTTATGTCAATGTGATGCATTTTAATTATTAAGCAACAATAATATAAGAAACCTACAATATTGTAATGTACATTGCGAGTATAGCGTTGTACTTTGGATTATATTATGATTGAATCAATACAGCTCTCAACGTCTATACCTCTTGTACAATAACAGAGAGGTTACCTATTATTTCCCACTGTTTTTAATATTAAATAAAGCTTTACAATACATAGCCTTAATACCCTACATGCCCTACTAATTCCTTTTTATTATTTAATTTAATTTTAATAAAGTATATTGAAGTCACATTAAAATAAATATAAAATACGAAGAAAATTATATTGGTGTACCTGAATTGCCTATATAAAGCGCCGTGGATAAATTTTAATTTACCAATGTTATAATTTACTGAATAAATATTATAGTGTAATCAAATTATATTTTTTAACTGTATGCCACTCCAAGGAAGTGACCATATAAAAAAAACGGAAATTTATATAATATAAAATATATTCTTTTTATAATTGAGAATATAATTATTAAATTATAAACAAGATTTTCAGCCCACTAATGTATAAAATAAAATATATTCTTCCTCAATAGCTCAATCAGACAATATATGGTGAACCATGGTTTTTCCACTATCTCATAAAATTAAAAATGTAATGCTAGAAAAAACCACTATATATATTGTTTATTAATAATTAATTTAACCGTTTTATAAAACATGTTTATGATATATATAGAGATTTGCTTTGAAATGAAGTGAAATATTTTCAATATCCAAACACTATAGCATTGATTTGATGATTGTGTTAGTTGTATAATAACATACGAACACACATTATAAATTCTATACGGAACGATGAATGAATTGATATTACAATAATATGGTTTTTTTTTATTGTTTAATTTTAAGTTTAATTGTGGTTTCTAGTAACAAACTGGATTTTTTTTTTTAGTAAATTATGTCAAAAGTGAATATTTCTCAGTACTTTTAAAAATATTCAGGAAAAATACCGGGAACTTGCTCTGCTGTATAGTAGGTGTCAAGGTGTACCTAGTAATTCATTAGGTCATTGTAATGGACACGTTAAATTTTAACTTGATTCATACGAAAAATGATTCTGAGCGGAGACGGTTCGTCAGCATACATTATTAAAGCTGTTGAAAGAGAACCTTTTTTAAGGGATTGAAATTTATTCATTATTCTTTATCCTTCATGAGATGTACTGATGTGTAGTGACTGATCTTAGGGCGCAACAGTTCTCCAAACGCTTAATGTAATTCAAGATAAGCTACGGCTAAGATTCTTGGAAATCCGTAAAGTACATAATACTCGCAGTCACACACTTCACTATATTTTGCGATCAAAAATGTTTAAACTGCGTATTATAGGTACGCGTCCTTGGTTATTCATATTATGTAGACCGCATATCTGAGCAGCACCAATGAATTTTCGATTTCTTGTATTGTTTAAGTAGTATTAATAGTAGCAATTAGTTTTCTTTTTAGTTCTTTTACGATAATTTATTTTTTAATTTACATTTATTATGCACGCAAACTCACTTGAAAACCGAATTAGTGTAAAAAAACGTCCAACAAAACACATATAATGTTCTTACCACCAAGTTTCATTATAGGTAGATTCACTCTAATTTTTAAGCTAGCAACATAAAACGTGAATTTCTGATCGTAAATTTGGTATGCTACGCTTTTGTAAGACGGAGAAAACACATGTGGGTGTGGCGTCCTCTTAAAAATAATTTTAGACATGTACCTATATTATATTTGATCAAAACTATTTTACTTCGTAAATATGGTATTCTCAAGGCTAATTTTTTTACTGTTTTCTCAGGAACCTACACGTGTACATCATAATAACAACGCAGTGGCGTCCACAGGGGGGGGGGGGGGGCACAAGCTGAAGCCCCCCACCCATTGCCCGTATTATTATTACTTTTTCAAAAAAATATTAATCAAGTTTAAACTGTCAACTATAGTAAATTACATATATGTCTTACCCATTTTTGAAAAAACATTGTATTTCGCATACCAATTTTCATAAATTATCTGTAATATTTCGGTAAAATTATGAACTACTTGTATGAGAGACCTTGTATTAAATTGTCTAGCCTTAGCTATACATATTTTATATTTTATAAGTTTTGTACTACAAATTAACCGTGGTTTTGACGTAATTTGGACTTTAATTCTTATAAAAAATAACCATGATGCCTATGTGTCATTAATATTTTAGCTATAAAAAAAAAATTTACGTATTACATTTTTAAGCTTTTTGACCTGACAAATAATTTTTTATTAACATTTATAGAAAAAAAATTTTAATTAATCAAATACAATCCAAGTTAGGATGGTATAATACCAAGTTTGTTACTAAACAATTTGAATAAATTTTCATTTTTTTTCTCCAATTATTTTTAAAAGCACTGAGAATTTTCAATTTCGACCTCCTAAAAGTACTAACTAGATCCAATTTGCTTCAAAAAACATACACTGGGCATCGAAGCTTATGATCAGAGCATTTTTTATACAAGAAAAGTTGAAAAGTTACAAACATTTTAAAATACCCCAAATAAACGTCTGCAATTATAAGACTGAACAAAATAAAAATAAAATTGTAACCTATTTTCAAGCCCCCCCCTCCCCCTCATTGAAAAATTCTGCGGATAGCACTATAACAACGTGTTTATGACCGCGCGCGTTGTTCGTAATGAAGCATGCACATGAAAATATACTGCTCCCATAATCACGGGCAATAAATATATTTAAGATGATCGATGACAATTTTTAAGTTTTCAACATCATACACACCGAATATAAAATAGACGAATGGAAAAAAATTTGAATCATATAGAGTTGGCACTTTTAACGGGCAACGAAGTGAACTGGATCAACTAGTAATCTATATAAATAAAAATTAAATAATTTAGGTACATGCAAATGTACAGAACACATTTCATTGATATAAAATAATGAATTGAAACACAACATTTGGATTAATGACAATTTATTATAGTTGTAAATTGATAACGTAAATTCTAGTGTTCATAGATAATTGATAACTAACGTAAAATATTAAAATACATGCTTTTATTTAATGAAATGTCATATGTACATATTATTATCTATGTAGTAGAAAGGATATAGTTACGTGCATAATAATAAGATAAAATGTAATAACTTTCTAATAAATGTTATGAATTCTTAACTACAAAATAATTTGGTCATTTTTGGGATTTTTGGGATTTTTATGAATTTTGTAAAATACATTTCACATTATACATGCATAGGAACCTATTTAACTATTTTAGCCCAAGACCACATCATAAGTTTGGCCGAAAGCTTTTTCAAGTTTATTTAGAAGTCAACAGGATCAATGCACTAACAACTCAACATAGGACCACCGACCACCACTCCAACGTCTCGTAGACGACCTCACTACTTAGTTGTTTAAATAACACAACTAATAAGTCATAACTTCTAGCAATTAGATATATTTTTGAGAGGTCCTTGAGACCCATATTATGTGATTTATAAAATTGTTTCAGAAACCAAGAAGCTGAATACAATATTGCGTCGGTTATCGTTTGGGCATCACTATTGTTAATTTTGACCTTTTCTGTAAGACTGCAGTTGCGCATCGTTCGATTTTTGGGTTATACATTATTGGCACATCGACCGTTTAAAAGGTCGTACATCATTTGAGCATCAATATTATTTAACAAGAGAACTGAAAAATATGTGTATATCAAAATTGTTTTCTAAATAAATTGCTAATGGTGTCTATCATTTACAACGGGCTCCTGGGCGTCAAAAACTAGACCATAAATTAAATAAAACTTTTTACCAATAAAATAAGTGTCGAGATTTTGATGAGTTTTGTAAAAATTTGAACTTTAAATGCTTATAATTTAACAAAAATACTTATTGCTATGTATCTTTATTATTTTTAAACTTAAAAATCTTATATTATTGATTATCTATACATCATATATTTATATAATAATTCTGACTGCAATTCAATTGAATTAATGCAATTCATTTTTAATTGTTTGTAGATATCTATTTATTACATAATATGATATATAAAAAACATTGCATTTCCAATCAAAAATTATTTTTTATACCCTTATATTTTTCAGAATGTTGATGCGCATATGACGCATATGATGTACGATATGGCACAGGTAAATAGACGATGCGCAAATTATATAAGGCCACAATATTGTATGTTGCATATTTCTGCATATTTCAAAGTTTAAATGATGTTTGGATTTATTGTGTTTATATCAGTACCGTAGGTTTCAAAATATTTGAGTACCACGACACAAAGAACAGTTCTGATTATCTGATATTATTCGATTTTTTTGTTTGATTTCTAAAAGGTTAACTAATTTTTTTTATACTAAATATTTTTTGGATATTTTGTTATTTTAAGAGCACTTATTTTAATGTTTTTAAGAGTATATTACGGCACTAATAAGTAATAACAACATTATTTTTGAGCTGTAAGTTATGAACCCTGCTTATTAGTTATTAATTATTACTATAATATCGTCATTCAATATTCCTATACGTTCGTACTAAAATACCATTATAGCTTATTAATACTCAACTCATATAAATACGTATTTTTAAAATCTTAAACGTTTAACATGTGTTACAAAAAGATACACATCACTGTAAAACCAAGCTCCACTTGGATCTGAAATTGGATATTTAAATATAGTTTTGTTTTTGAAACATCCACAATTTGAATTCTTGTTCTATGCACAATCGACTAGCGATAATTGATGTAACTTTGTTACATTCAATTTAATTTATTTACAAAAATAATGTAAGAAAAAAATGAAGGAACTTTTCTTTTTTTCTACATTGATACCAGCAGGTATTTAACCACGTAACCTCGAAAATAAAAAAATGTAATTTTAAATTAAAAAATATTTAACATACTTATTGAATTTTATATATTTCTATATATGGTTTTACAGTTTTACACTGCTATAACAATGGAATAAAAGCATACCATTAGAAATATGATCCATAAAATGTACTCTATGCGAGTATATTTAGCAACTTTTGATTTGTTTGAGAAAATCAAACTTGCGATCGTAGGGCTTTAAATTTTAATGTTTGATTCTTTTCTTAAAAGATAATCTGTAATCACATGGTAAATCACAAACAGTGAAATAATCAAATGGTAAAAATTAATTTACAAAAATAATGGTGCATGGAGATTGGTTGAAGGCGGACTTTTAAAAAGGGACATGGGACATTAAATTACAAAAGTATATATTTTATAATATAGTTGATCTGTTTTATAGGTAACGTTTTTTATATTTGAAGGGATTAAACAAACACAAAAATATCAGCTATTCGATCAAAAGATTATATTTTTGTTTCTCGTGCAGCAATGACAAAACTATACGATACTACTGTACGATAAATAAATAAGGACATTCGCCCGAGTAATTAAACATATATTTGCGGTCTTCGGTCTTCAGTGTCCTTGACTTGCGCATTGTTTGACGTGTTTGGTGTTGTTGTGTCTTATTGATGGATGATGTTATGTATGTACACGGACTTTGGACGGTGAGGGATTAAAGAGCTCATTCGATGATAAGTCATATTTTAACGTCAACGTATTTGAATATTTAAAACAGAAGATGGCATAATTGGCGTGCATGATAATAATATAATTGGGAATGTCATTAAGCCGCTAATACGAAATTAATCATACCCGGGAAGTGACGACCGCGGTCTTGGACTCAAGAGATGACAATGTCAAATTAAGGATATAATACCTATCCGGTTATAATATACCTACCGGGGCTATGGTTATCGTGCGTGTGATTTTGCGTCTGCGTAGTCTGCGTCAGCTAAATACCTAGGTATATGCTTTGTGTACGTGCAAAGTGAATGGTACGTTAATATAATACAGCAAATTAGAAAAAACCAGTATAAAGCAGAGTTGCAGTTGTATCGAATCTCTCAGTGTTGGGGTGTGACGTTTTCGAGGCGGTTAATAAGAGTATATGAGTACCTAATCAACTAAAATATAATATTTTCACTGCAAAGTAGTCACCTATTCGGTGTTAGACTTAATTAACAGCAGTAAAATTATTGAAATCGAACTTTTATATATATTTCATAACCATGCAATCGTTCAAACTGGAAAAATGTCTGCTAACCGTCATCACTCTAGCGACTATAGTTGTTACCACGTGTGATTACGCCACCTGCTTGGAGTCCGTAAGTATATATTCTTTTTTTTTATGTAAAAGATTGATTTTAAAAATTACATTTAAAATTTGTGCACATAATAATTTTTCAATGTGACTATTTTATACTATACAGTACTTAAATATTAGATTGTATTAAATTAACGATTATATATTTTTAATAACACCGAACACGCTCTCCATATAAATCGGTATAATCATAATTTTCCCATATGACCAAAGACCGCATATTATTATTTAATTATAATTCGTTTTACCATTTTAATATAAGAAAACCTTAATGTACAATTAACTTATATGTATATTGTATGCGAATACAATAGTAGGTACTAATTTACAATACTTATAATATTATCATGATTATTTTGTCTACGCTCTAGTGTAACTTTGTAACTACCCAATAATTGTCCAACTTGACGCATGACAAAACTCTGCATACATCGAATCTTTAGCTGAAAAATACTCTGTAAAAGAAACCCTTCTATTGATAAAATGTTATAAGTTATAACTTTTTATTCCAGTTTTTATTTTAAAATGTTGATATAACATATAAGGTTTGGTCAAAAAAATTAAAAATTGAATGCAAGTCCCACATTGGTTTTTCTAATTTCGATTCAAAATCATTAAAAAATAAAAATGCATAAACAATCTGTTTTTTTTATAAGCATTTGAAGTTCAAATTTTGTCAAAATTAGTCAAAATCGCCAAATTAGTTTATAGTTTAAAATGTATAACGTTTTAAATTTAGATTGTTATTGCTTTAAAGTGTATTACAAACAGGGTTCTGGTCCCATGTAGTGGGAAACATTTTGGCTAAAACTTGTTTGCGCACAATCTATAATTTTTACCTGAAAATTCGGAACTCGTTTGGGGACACGGTTATATTAAATATACAACTGGTTTGTGCACACGAAAATAATTATATTTTACCTGTGTTGGGCACTGATAATCACCGATGAAAAGTATGGAAATCTTATATTAAAATTAAAATTAACATGCATTTTTAACTTGAATAAGTATTAAGTATTAGGAGTAGTAGTGTTCACACAGATCCTCCTCTGCTGTCGGTTCAAACGAAAAAAAAAAAAAAAAGTATTAAGTATTATTTATTAACAATTATTAATAAGCAAGTATTAACATGCATTTTTAACCACGCCTATCATAGACAGTCCTAAGCCCTTTAAGGGGGATAGAAAATGTATGTAAGTACTTTAATAATTTACTTATTAATAAACACATATTAATATGAAAGGTATTAAACTATTAAAGTCTAAAAATTAACTGCTGGCAAACCACGTGTATGGTTACTGCTCAACTGTTCTCAAACGAGTGGTAGTGTTTTGCCCAAACAAGTTGTCTTTTTGGTATTTGTGCGCAAACCAGTACCACACAACTTTTTTGTAATCCAAAATAGGTACATAATATAACATTATTTACCAATAACGTTAATAGTTATATTATTATAAAATATAAAAAAAAAACACAATAATTTATATAAATAACACTGTAACAGATTCCTACAGATACACTACAACAAATTATTATAATAATAATATGATAATTAATAATTATAATTTAACATGATGACAGGCTTCTTTTAAAACACGTTTATCTTTTCCGTCGTGACGTCTAAAAGATGGTTGAATTATATATTTTTATCATGCTTATTTTAGTGTATCGGTATGATCATTATGCTGATTCCATTTATTTCCATAATGTCAACTCACCATTTACGTGTAATAGTTGCTAACCCCTACTCAACGTAACCATCGGGTTAATTGAAATATTTGTGTTATACAATTTATACTGAATCGGCTCTGAATACAGATTTGATTATGTTCTTTTATTCAAAGTACATAGTACAGTATAGGAACGCTTGAATGCATATGACCTACCAAAGGTACCCATGTAAATTAATGAATAATGATATTCATCACAAGATATAACTAAACAAGATATAATTTTAAATATTTCGCTACCTGAATTAATAATTTGTGTTTTCAACTATTTGATAAACATGTGTATTCTGCAGTGACTGAAGTTCATTACGTTAAATTCAATTATAATAAAATACTTATTTTCATGTGAGTTTTTTTTTAAGTAGAGCAATAGTTACAATTTTGTTATAATAATTGGATAACTATTTTATTTCGTAATTTTGTATTACTTACGCAATAAAAGTATAAATAAAGTATCAAGTATAAACTATATTTTTCCTTATTTAATATATCAATCTCGTGCACTCCATTCAGTATAATAATATCTATATTATAATACCTATATTTCATATACATTAACATAATGTATCATGTTAGGCATGTCTAATAGCTGGTACCGTATATAAATATAATTCGAGACAACTGACCCGCTCACGTTAAATTTGGAAGGATCCTAAAACCGTTTTGAAATAGTTTAATAATAAAAATATACATTAAATTACAGTCGCGCAGAATCAAGGAATATGGATATCCTCTGATGACGTATCAAGTCTGGACCGCTGACAAATATCAGTTGGGAATAGAACGAATTCCGTACAGTAAACTCCGTAGCAACTTATCTACCGGCAAACCAGTCTTGTTATTGCACGGCTTGTACTTATCGTCGGCTATATTCACAATAAACAACTCGTCACTCAGTAAGTCCAAAACAGTACAAACGACAGAAGTAAATGTGTAGTTTCCGTTCGGCAAAATATTATGTCTAACGGTAAACGACAATATATAGGTACCTACAATTAGTATTATAGATTAATTCGCAAACAAACTACAAGTCATGAGGTATGCGTAAACCCATCCAGTTTGTATATATATTAGCACTTGACAACTGTGCAGATTTTTTTTTCCCGTATAAAATATATTGTTTTCGGAACACTGTTTTTTTTTTATATAAATATCTATGGATGCCGAGTGCCAAGATGAACTATAGACGGATTATGAGAGTAGATAGCCTACCTAGGTTGTTTTTCTAATTCTTAAAACAAACTTTGTTTGAACATTTTTGAAAATACAATTTATAATGTAATGTAATATTATTTTATGTATATTTGAGAAATGTTCTAAAATTAGTATAAACTAACGAAAAATTATGGGAAACGGGACATTATGAACTCTTAATAACTCAAAATCAGTTTTTGAAAAATCCAGTTAGTTCTTTGTTATAATTAAAAGATTAATGGTTGAAAGACTTGAAAATTGCATCATCTATTTTATAATAGCATTTTCTAGACATAATAAATATTTCAAAACATCAACTCACTTAAAAGCTAGTATGTTTATTTTAGCAAAAATCAATTCAACCCACTGTATTACTAATAGTAATACGAATATAATATTGTAAAAATATCCTTAGAAATAGAGGCCATCTAACTCACCGTCTCCGCTCAGAATATCTTTTCAAGTTTTTGTATAATTAAAATGATATTTTGTCTGAAGTCAAATTTAAAAAATCCATTACATAATAACCTACTTATTTTTATGTCATTGCACGTCCTTACATAAATACTTACCATACTAAAATACGATTTAAAAGTCGAGTCTAGTAACATAATAGTTGGCAACTTTTAAATCCGTATATGGTATAATATGTTTTCTGTTTATGCATTGTGTATTATATTAACTACATTCTAAAATAGGTATAGGTACCTAAAATATACATAAATCTATTTTTTATTTAAATAAACAGCAATCCATGAGGTTATGATTTATTGTTATCTACACGATTTTAATCTAGTTCATATTGTATTTTTATCTCGAAATCGAAAAATTTTCTTTGTACAACACATGTTTACATAACTATAGCTACATTGTGTAAATAAATTACCAAAAAATTAGCTCTAACTCATTGATTGCCAAACACGAGCCAAAAAACTCATCAGATAAGTAAATAATATTATAAAAATAGGTAAACCTAACCTAATCCTCAATTCATACGAACATAATATTACTGCATTATCAGTACACTTTGAGTATTCAATTTGTCGTTTCATTAGCATACCTAGTAGACTATAACAACATGAATTTGTTTGACTTCAGGTTTCACTCTATCGGATGCCGGTTTTGATGTCTGGTTGTTCAACGCCAGAGGTATTGGTCTTTCGAGAAAACTCAGTATTTATAAGAAGCCTGGATCGTCGCCAAAAATGAATAGCATTTCATGGGACTTCAGGTATCATTAAACTATTATTAAGTATACCTATATTATAATTAATATATTAAAAATTTCTGTTGTTGATAATTGAATAACACATTAAATGTTAACACATTTTACTTGAGCATAAATTACACTCTATACTTCAATAAAATATATATTACACTTTTAATCTTTTCTAAATACAAACGAGTATTTTCATGTAAAAAGACGTAGTTGTCCTTATGATTTTAGAGCATAGTGATTAATGAATAATTAGTTTTAAAATGTGTGTATGTTTTTTTTTATATCAGATGTCACCATTAGATGCAATACAAATACTTCAAACTTCAAATTTAAGGGTAGTTTCTGGCAAAAATTGGATTTTCTTGGTACTTTATTCCTTATGTAATTTTGGCGCAGGGATGAATTTGCCCACTGGCCTACAGTTCTGTAGGAACTAGTAATACGGGGGCACAGGGCCCTTCATTAATAAGCACCAAATTACCATAATTAAGGGATAGCAAATCTTAAATCTTTGTTATCCTCAACTGTAATTTCTGAATTCGATAATATAATACTATAATCCGATACTCCTTGATAGTATATTATAATATTGGTGAAATTTAATTATGGGCATTATTAATTACGTTTTATGGTAGAATAGACATTATTAAATAATAAATATTACAACTGTAATCACGATTCATGGTTATAATGGTTGCACGGCGAGGACAATGACCGTGCAATATTCTTATGAAATACTATATTGACTTAACTATGTTGGTACACATTCGAAAATGTTTGAATTTAAAAGAATGTCAACACTCACCACTGTTAAGGAGTAAAAATATTTAATTATAATAATAATGACAAATTGGTGGATAAGAATTTTATGCAAACTATATCAACATTAATTTACAAAATATGGATTAGGATGTTTATAATGTATAACAAACCATACAGACCAATTTTAATAAACATTAAAAAGTAAAAACCTATGCTATTTTAAATTTAAATTAATTTGTATAAAAGTTGTTTCATCTGAAAAATCACTAAAAATCGATTTCCGTGACCATTATATTTTTGAAATCAGAGACCTTGATGAAACATTATCATAATTTAATAATTAAGACCATTATTACTACTTCAACAGTTTAACATGTTATTTTTTGTGAACTCACTTCAGCCAAACTTTATTAACAGAATAGTCTAAATCAATAAAAAACTAAAATTGTTTGCACAAAACCTAATTAATATTTATGTACCTATGGAAATCATATTATGATAAGCAAAAAATAAAAAAGATTGGATATTCTAATCCCCGAGATGTAATTACTATAATATTAAATATAGAGTAGCGTGTAAGAATTATATAATAAATACAAAATTATTTCATTGTACGTAAAAATAAGTGCGATAACATGTTGTACATTAAAATCAATACAGTCTTTATTAAATTATTTTTGTGGTCTTCTTTAGTTTTCATGAAATGGGTGTATACGATATGACCACTACTATAGATTTCATCCTCAAAACTACCGGATATTCAAAATTGGACGTGGTGGGCTACTCCCTCGGGACAACAATATCGCTGGCATGTCTAACCGATAGACCCGAATACAATTCTAAAATCAACAAACTTGTACTCATGGCACCTACGTCCAGGCTTAAATCATCAGGCATGCCTCTCAACCTCGCAAGACAATTTTCCCCTATCTTAAAAGTAAGTATTTTGTATTTTTCTGGTTCGTTTGTTCCACTTTTTGGTTTCTGTGGGTACAAGGATAAAATATTATATTCTTGCACAGAAGTCGTATGTAAACATAAATTTCGTGTATGATAAATAAACGAAATTAACTCAAATAATTACATTTATGTGTTTTAGATTTTCCTAGATGGGGTTAATTTCTTTCCGCTTACTAATGATCCTGACACCACGTATAAATTAATTAGACGTTTGTGTACGATTAAAACCGCTTTTAAATATTGCAGACAATTTATTGATTTCGCTCAAGGAATAAATTTACCGATGAACAATGTAAGTAACACCAAAACGAGTAATATATATTTATTATGTTTGGAGTTCCGTAAGTCCATGATATTAAAATTGTCTCTACGACAGTGACTAAGTAATGATCAACAAAAAACAAAACGTTTAATGAAATAATTTTTATAGATATATAACTATACGATTTTAGTATTACATATTATGATATTTGAAATTTACGTATATGAAACTATGTTTTATAATAAATATTAAATAAGAAGAAGATAGATTATAGATAGCTGATATTATGTTTTGCAGGTTTATTCTTTTCGTTTTTATTTACATATTATTAGGTACCTGTAGCAATGCAAATACAAAATTAATTTAATAATACGTCCTACATTCCGATTCTCAATATAAATTACTATAACACCATAAATTGTAATGTGTTTAATCCAAAAAGTGTTTATAATGTACCTATATTATTATAAATTATAATCCACTTTGCACTAGAAAACCCAAAGAATTATATTGATACATTCGTTAATTGGTATTTGTTCGTTTACTTATTTATTTTATACATGGTTATTTATTTAATACACGGCAATCATTATTTTATAGGTACCTACCTACTAATTATTAATTATTCGTTGTGGTTTTGTTAAATTAAAATAAAAATTTAACACAATACGACAAACCATAACTACAGTCTTTGTAGACTGTCTTGTGACAGCATATTTGAAAAATTTAGATAATTCTTACTACTTTTCGTCACTATTTTTAGATCTAATAATTTTTTGTACATGGTAACTCGTTTTATTTTTAGATTTAACTTATATTATTTACCCATAAGCATTTGATGCGAATATTAGCTAAGTAGTGAGTACACATCACAATTTTGAGAGTTATTTTCTATTCTACGCTTTGGTTCTACAATTTAAACTCAAAATGGGCACTTATAAGTTGTAAGTAGTTTACGAAATTAGTTAAATTCATAATTATTTCGTATACATAAAAATTTTTAGTGGGTTTGTGTGGCTCTGTGGTTTCATTTAGTTACGAAACGTGTTCTAAGTGCAAGTACCGGTCGGTGTCACGTCTGTCACCAGTTCCGGGATGGGATGGGTGACCACCCGGGTTCTTCGTGACAAATCCTTCCCACACATACATACTGCACGTGTTCAAATCCAACCATACCCCCCCCCCCTACAAACAGCTAATGGACATAGTTTCCGGGCATAACATCAATAAAAATAAAAACTTTAAAAAAATACACTGCATTATAATATAAAATTTGTCATAGTAGGATTATGAGTTTCCATTTAAAAATAGTTAAGATCATAAAAATTTTTCTATCTAATTATTATGAAAACCGTTTTGTAAAAATGTATTGTTATTATGGTACCTACTTAAAACTAAGCATGTCATTATTTTTTTTTCTTCAAAAAGCAATCATGACAATGCAGGGTTTCTAACGATAAAAAAAACCTTGTACTCTGTACATAATATATATTAGTGTGTAGAAATTGAAGTAGACATATTTTAAAATTTCCTTCATTCTAAAAATACTATAATAATTAACAATATTTTGTATATAACACAGGACACAGTTTTAGACATCGTTTCCGAATTTCCACAGCCGATGTCTTCCAAGACCTTAAAACACATGTTGCAATTACTGACATCTGGTAAGTAAAAACTATGACAAAATCACATGATTTTATTTCACCCACTCTTAAACATGTATATGAATACATCATTCATCTTTCATTATGACGAACGACATAATAACACGACGTATCCTGACGTTATAACGTACACGGACTTATAAGTATATCTTATATCAGTATTAGGATATGAGTTATGACTAGTATAAAATATTGTACACTTCGAAAAAAATTTATTAACGACTTTAAGACGTCTCAGCGCCATAATATACTTATATTATATTCTTTGTACCTAAAGTTATTTGTAAAGAAAATAAGTTATTGCAGTACATAAACATCATCGTGTTTGGTTGAAGTCCATATTACAATTAAATATTAACAATTAACATATACTATTTCGCAAACTATATAGATATAAAATCACGTGATATATAGAACAAATTGTTATACAATTTTACAATAGAACACTTGGGTACACAAAATACTCTATACAAAATACTCTACACTCTATTTCTAGTTTTAATTAAATTTATTTATTTACCATTCAGGAAGATTTGGCCATTATGACTATGGACCTTATGGAAACTTGTTACGCTACCGGACAAGAACTGCACCGGATTACGATCTATCCAGGGTTACTGCTCCTACATATGTTATATATTCCAAAGAGGATACCCTAGTCCCTCCAGTGGTAATTATTCTTTAATAATCATTTTACAGTTTAAGATCAGAAACAGTTATATATCCACCCAAATGTTACGAGTTAATTGTATACCTATGATAACGGTTTCGGATATTAATTTTAGTAGAGAATTTTAGTTATTGTTTTTCTCCAGATATGTTGATTTAAATATTTTTAAACTAGGATAGGTTTTGATTACCTGCAGAAATGTACAGCTTTTAAAAATGATTTTACTTTTTAAGGAGCGTCGAATAAGCGTCAGCCCCTCCCCCCCCCCCTTGGGGTGTCTTTTTAACATTATTTTTTATTATTATATTTGGCTAAACAAAAAGACAATTTAATTTTTGAAAATCCCCCCCCCCCTTGGGTGACTTCTGGATCCGCTACTGACAGTAGGACATTGAGAAATAACTTATTTTAAAAATATTGAATTGAAAATAACCGAGAGAAATAAAAATATTCTTTAAATAATTGTACATAATTGCTTAAAATCCATGTTATAATCACAACTTACTATTTATACTCAACGAGAAATGCACGGATTGCATTTTGAAATATGTGAATTATAATTCAAATCATAAAATATGTAAATTATTATATTTAATCATTCATTGTCTTAACATATTTATCATATTCCAGGATGTGAATTGGCTCATAACTCAGTTACCAAACATTAAGGATGTACACTACATCGAAAAAATACCATTTGGTCATTTCAGTTTTTCATTAAGTCCAAATATGAAGGAAGTTGTGAATATGTACATAACAAATAAATTATTAGACAACAACATAATATGATGACGAAAATCAAATATATTATAATGATGTATACCTAAAGTAAACTTATTGTAAACAAAGTACCTAATAGCTATTTATACCTATATTTTAAATAATTTTTTTTAGATTTGTATAAAGCTGCAAATGTATTATTTGTATTTATTGTATTATGTTGTGAATGAATGTCTATTTTAATAATAAATATTTAATATCACTATAACTTTAATTTGCATAAAATTAAAGATATTATAACTTTTAATAAGTCATATCTAACACCTTTGTTATTGAATGTAAATTATATTGTTATTACATCGTTAAAAAATAACACTATGGTATACTTAATTATTTGACATTGATGATTCCTACTCGTTTTATGAGTAAATGAGTAATGACTATGAATAATTACTAAGGTTATACATAGTTGTCATTACCTAATTATATTATAATAAAATTCGTTTTTATTTATAAATTTTTCAATTTAAATCAAAATTTATAAACATATTAAAAACGCATATCGCTTAGAATTTTAAATATTAAAATTAAATATTATATAATAATGTCTGGGGTCATGGCACCTCAAAATTAAGTTAGAACTTTAAAAACTTCTTAAATATTTTGCTTATAATTTTAGAATCCTAACATCCTAATAATTAATTTTAGTTGTAAAGTGACTTTGTCGTTTTAGAGTGAAATTGAATATAATTTTTTCTCGCAGAATTGTTGTAGATCTAAATTCAAAAACTAGCAAATAACTTTCTAAATATCTATAAAAACTAAAAATACGTATATTTATAGTGAATAAATAAATAAATATTTTTAATATTAAAGTACCTATATCAACACTTAACATATTATTTCATTTATTACTTCTTAATATAAATAAATTTTTTTCTTAAAAATAAGTTCGTCAAAACGGGTTGTAAGTTATATTACAATATTATACTACACCTACATTTTGATTATTTACTAAAAAATTTTCAATATCTAATTTTTTTTTTAACTAAAAATTACCAATTCCCCACCATATATTCCTAATATTCTAATCACATAATCTATACACGTCCAAATATTCTAGTCACACCATAAATTAAGACCTACACATGAAATCCATACACCAAATTTTCTTTTTTATATAGCTCGTACTCTTATTGTGACTACTGGTGCAAATTGGGTATACGTAATAACAAATAAAAAAACAAAAACTAATATTATAGTATCTAAAAAAATATTGATTAATGTAATTTTAAAAATTGTTCGATCATGTTGGCTTCTCTAATATTAATTGTATTGTTAGGAATCAATAATCCAAAATATGTAACCCGACTAAAATGGATGTTCTTAACTTTTTGTACGATATGGGGGCAATGGTAATGGTAATTGTTTAGTATAATATATATTGATCCATTAATGTTTATTATTTATAAAAATAGTAAAAGTATAATTAATACTAGATTCGATATTACATCTATTAATTTATACTATTGTTAAACCATTTTTAATTACTATTATCCTTAATATAAACATTTTAACAACTGATAAACTACTATTTCAAATTTTAAATTAGATACATCTACATTTTCAGAAAAATTATCCACTAAATAATTTACAGCAAACAGTGGGGTTCTAACTAGAAAAATAGAAGTTTGTAACACCACAAGACACTTTTTGAGTAGTACATAAAATCTCAAAAATTTGAAAATATGATATTTAAGATAATATTATTAATAGGTATATTTAAAAATTTAAAAGATCAGAATTTGAATAAATTCATTATTAAATGAAAATATTGGGGTGAGTATGATTGGTGAATCACCGTGTTTATTGTTATTATTATATCATAGGTATCATGTATATTTATAAAATGTATCCCCTATCGTTGAATCGTTTATCATCTAACACAAAAAATCTGATAGGTATACGCCATGAGCCGTGGCAATAAAGATAGGTAATTAATAAATGCACCTACTTTTAATATAACACTTAAAATAATATTCTCGGCGACCATTAATAACCGATAGACAGCATTTCAATCTTCACACTGGCACACTCAATTAACGTTTTTGCCCTTGAACATTGATGATTCCTATAAAAAAAATTAACGATTTCCGATTTATACCTAAATATTTTCAATATAATGTCTGGATTGACTGAGTCTTAGAGCATATGCACGTATTGTATATAAATACTATATTCGGATATACATTTTCTACTCATGTACATACATTAAGTATCAAACATGTTTTTCTCGTATAAGCACACAACGTCAGCATTTGTTTAGATTCATTTTTTTTCTTCTTCTCATTTAATACTTATTTAAATAATAGTAATAATAATTACCATGCTTCATTCATTTAATATATTATGTAAACTTCTGTTAATATTTACTACGCTGATAGGTCACACGAAATGCAATCCGCCTTTGAATACCGTAAGTATTACCTACCTACATACGTAATATACCGAATTTAGCACATAAATGTAGGTACCTAACATAACAATCGAAAGTGTATTCGTTTTCGTTGGTATTCCATTTTTTTTGTTTTTCGTGTACAAAACGCTTGTACAGTGTTATTTGATTTTAACCGACGAATATAATATTATTAGGAAGAATCGGTTATCCAATTGGGCTATCCGCTGGAAAAATACAAGCTCCAAACTCTGGATAAGTTTACACTAGGCTTGGAACGGATACCTTATGGCAAACACGGCGACCGGACCATTGGCAAGCCTATCTTGTTGATGCACGGTTTGTTCCTGAGTTCTTTCGTATTCTCGAATACGAATAAATCGTTGAGTAAGTCATAATGATGTATATTATATTATATAAAATATAGGGTGAGTGTCTGATGTTTTTTCACGGTTTTACGATAGGTACATAATACTAGTATAGTATTTTATTGCATTGTACTGTTATAATAATTAATTAAAACAATATATTATTTAATTTAATAAATTATGAATCAAAAATTCGCCAAGTCCTACCCCCAAAAATATATCAAGTAAAAAGTACTGAATATAAAAATGACTCATTTTAATGGAAAACCTATAAGGCCGATAAAATATAAAAGTGATCGACGTTTATTAATAGGAAAAATATTAAATAATATTCTAAAAGTCGTCGTTTGTAAAAATCATAATATATCTTTGGCTTATGACTATTACCCCAAATATCACTTTTTTAAATTTTTCTGAATAATAGAGAATTTTATTGATTTGAACTTAATAAAAACACTCTAAACTTCAAAAATTCATGACAATTTTTTTTTTAATTTATAAAATTGTTCTTGTGCAGATGGTTTTACTATTAAATAAACAACTTCATAGTACCTATATTATATTATGCATTATTTTTGTGGACACGTTAGATTATTTCCCATCAACATTGGTCTCATAGGAATAATTGAAAATTAAAAAGTTTCTTACATTGAAAACGGCCCTATAAAACTATACATTAATGTTTAAAAAAGTCCTAAATTTATCAGTATCTCGACCTGCACGAACACCAGTACATATATTATATAATAGTTTATTTAAGTTCAACATTTTACACAGTTGTCAGTCAACGTTATTAAAATTTATAACTATATCACTTATATAATATGAAGATTTCCGTTTAAATTAGAATATTATTAATCATTGTGTATGTTGTCAATTATTAGTAACCTGCAGCACTAATTACCATTTTTTAAATAGTAATCAGTGGGTGACCTGTTTATTATAGGTAGGTACGCATAACACATGCGTGATCATTCTTTTAAATAACACTTTACACTTAGGTATTCCAAATATTGTAATTATTATTAATTATTTCAATGCCAACACGTACAAAACGTATGTTAATAACTTGATAATAATAATAACTAGGTATACGTTAATAATTTGTCTACGAAATGTACTCAAAAACAGGCTATTCGCTATCTGAGGCTGGATACGACGTATGGTTGTTCAATGCCAGAGGAACAGGATTGTCCAGAACATACAGTATTTACTCAAAGGCGGGAACGGCACCGAGAATGAACAAGATGTCATGGGACTTTAGGTATATGACCTTAAGATTGCTTAGATACAAATTTGGTAAAAATTGTGATCAAAAAAATTCAGAGGTTTTGCAGATAAATTATGATGGTTAAATTATATTACATATTTGTATCTAATATTCTTATCTCGATTAACTGTTAGAAGTTAGTAAGTTAGCAGTTATTTGATCCATTTTATAATGAAAACAAGTGTCACAAATCACAATATCTAGATAAAATTGAATTTTTTTAGTTAATATTTTTCAACTGATTCCTCACGTACTGGGCAATACCTTGAAATTCAAAGCCATAGTAATATGATTTGAAACTCAAGTAACACCAATATAATAATTGACAATTTTTAATTCGAAAGAATTAATTAAACTGATCATTTATTTTAACCCCGACTAAATAATTTTACTTCTAATATTTTTTTTTCGGTACATTTAAAAAATGATTTTTGCGCACAACAATGTTTTCAATGACACATTTCGGATTTTTCTTTCATACATACTTGAACGGTTTAATACTGGAATTAACATCCGATGGAAAATCGTCACCAGTGGTCAGTCATAGTCATCAATGATGATTCTGCCGTACTATAATTTCGATATTTACAATTTTAAGTAAAACAGGCATGCGCAATCACTTGAAAATTTACTAACTTATCGTGACGTACCTCACCCAACTACTGCTTACTTTTGTACAACACGGGATATTTTCTATATATTATTATTTCTAGTTTCCACGAAATGGGCGTCTACGACTTCCCGGCCGTCGTCGACTTTGTCCTGAATAAAACAGGACGCGCTAAATTAGACATTGTCGGCTACTCGTTGGGCGCGACCATTGCACTTGTCGGACTATCAGAAAAGCCCTCGTACAACAACAAGATCGACAAACTAGTGTTGATGGCGCCTACGACCAGAATGATATCGTACGGATTTCCGGTCACTGCGTTTTACCGCGGTTCCTTGTTGTTTAAAGTAACCATACAAAATTACAATAGCATAATAATATTATTATATAAACAACTTCAATGCGAATCATCAATCCGTATCCTTGCCGATTAATTTTTAAACTATATTCTACCCGGAAATACAGTATAGGTAGGTTCCATCCAATTATACCATAAAAATAGTCAAATTAAATGTATAAATTATAACTGTTTAATATAATATGTATTGTACTGCGTACAAGCCCGTCGTCAACAGGAAAACAATAACGTCTAGGGTTTAGAGGGGGAGTTTGAACTTACGAAATCGCCATCGGTTGTGCCTTGGTGGGATGACTTACCTGTGTTAGGTACGTAAGATGGTCAAAATAAATCATTGCCTTAAATCAGTTTAGCATTGGATTTTAAATACCTACATATTACTTCCATTCTTTCCTCTAATGTATGAAAGACTAGATAATTATTAGATGTCATTACTCGGCCGTATATAAATAAATAAAATACCACAAAATTGAATTCAACTTAGGTACATAACAGTGGTGCATTTAGGAATTTTTCATGAGGAGGGTCTAGATGATAATTTTCATCATTCATTTTGTTGTACATTTGCAGGTATACGACATACATACAAGAATAGGTCGTTAAGTATTTTTCACCTTCCTAGGGGAGTTGCTCAAACGGGAATTTTGAGATTTGCTGTGGCAATGTAAATACTGTGCAAAATCACTATGTGATACTGGCAATGTAAATTTCTAACGAAAAAAATCACGATATTCATTGAAAATTTTGACAATTGAATCGACGACAAGTTTTTACAAAATCCTTCTTATAGTATGATAAAATTTGTTTTTCTTAATCATGTAAAAACAAAAAAATTAACATGTACGAGACACTAGTCAATGAGAGGGGTCCGGACCCCATGGACACCCCCCCCTCCATAAATACGCCACCAGTACATAATAACTCGTTGATTTTTAGTTAATTAGATATGTACCTACGTCGTTTTAATTATGTATCTAAAACTATTGCCGAATGAGTGACAACTATATGTACAGAAATCACATGATGGCAGTATTAATAATTTTAGCTCGAAGTAGTTAGTAACTTCTGACTCAGAGGAAATAAAAATTAACAATAATAATATTTATGATAACCTAACCTTAACATAAATAATTTATACATAAATATAAGTATATATATATATTTTTTTTTAGTACACAATGAAGGAGCAGAACTTTTTCCCAGCTGCTCAAGATCCGGATGCTGCACATCGTTATTTGAGATGGTTGTGTACATATAGAATTTTATATCCATTTTGTTTACTATACATAGACACTGCACAAGGCTCTAGGCTTAATTACAAAAGAGTAAGTAGTATAGAATTGAAATTGAAAAAAGGATGGTATCCAGTATGATATTCGTATTCACTGAATCGCGTACAATATGCTGTGTTGTTTAATTTTGATTGTTCAAAATTATTAATAAAATAATAGTTATTCTAACTACGAATTGCTGAATATCAGAATATGAATAGGTACACCTAAACTAGAAACAGTACTTTTTTTACCCTATTCCTGTTGTTAACCTAAAAGCTCCTATTTATATATATGTATATATAAGAACTTTTTTCAGTGTGTTTATCGTAATATAATAATTTCGTCATAATAAACTTGTTATTTACACTTTAGGATATGGTGATCAGTACTATAACAGATTTCCCACAACCGGTATCGAAAAAAATGTTATTTCATTGGGTTCAACTAATGTCATCAAGTAAGTTCAAACTTTATGAGATTAATATGATAATAATAACAACAACAAATAAATGCTTTTAATTTTAAATATTAAACTTCAAGTTTCAACAACATTTAGTTGTTAATTTTGTTATTATTTATCGATTTCGTTTTAATCAAATAATTATTATTTGTTGTAATATACTTGTAAGTACAATGCATTTATGATACTTTGTTAAATTTTATAATTTTAGAAAGATTTTGTAAATATGACTATGGAACAAATGGAAATATGCAATATTACAACATGAAATCACCGCCAGATTATAATTTGTCCAAAGTCACTACTCCAGTTTATATTTTACATTCAAAAAATGATCATTTATCTGCAGTAAAGGTATTTGCTTATTTTATTTGTTTAAAACATAATGCCATATTTGTATAACAAAACATTTTATTTAGAGGTAAGGTAATTAATTAATTAATTAATTAATTCTACTTGATTTCTTTAATTTGCGTATACTGTAGATGTTTTAAACAGTTTAATCAGAAAACTTTCAGCAATTTCATATTATTCTATTTTTTTTAATAATTATTAAATATTAATTTTTAATTTATCTTACCCCTTTACTACTAAAATGTTAATTAAACATGTCAAATAATTTAAGGTAAGTGTATAAACTACGTAAAAAAAAGGAATAAATAAACATATTTTAAATCTATTGATATTTAAATATTGAAAGTATTATTATATACAATTTTAATAAATTATGGGGGGACGAGGTGGCCGAGCGGTCTAGGCGTCGGTTGCGGCGCAGCCGTCGCCGGTTCGATTCTCGGCCACTGGGCGGAATTTTTCTTCGGGCAAGTCATGGTGTCCGGAGAACAAGTGCCGCCATCCCCCGTCCGTGGCGTGGCAGAAACCTACGGATGCCCCACTAGAAATTCTGCCACAACACACACACGTGTACCAAACCTATCCAATACAACAACCCACCGTTCCACCCCCACCCAATGGCCTATGTTTCCGAGGGTCATCTAAAAAAAAAAAAAAAATTATGTTAGTGATTACAAAATATTGGATGTGGACCATTGAATAAACCACTGAATAAAATAATATATACAGTTGAGAGTATACCTATTATTTTCATAATAGCCCTCGAGAATTCACTTATTTTTGTGCTGCTGCGTAATGGTGGTAGAAATGTAATCATTATCACCATGATACCATTTTAAAATAATAATGCTCAGTGGGACATCCAGTATAATATATAGAGCATGGACTTTTATAAACTATAAAACTGTAATATGCAAATGCCAATTATAGACCAAAACGTCTTGAATATATTTTTAATCAAATACAAATCAATTTCAAAAAAATTTTATAAATGCTTTTTAATTTGTATGTATCATAATTTATATAGGTAAATTATGAGATGAAGATAGTTAATAAAGAAATTATTTTAGCAACCTTTAATATAAATTAACTGGTAAAACTAAAAATTTACCCGTTATCGAAATAGGTAGGTACCTACCTATTATAGAACTTTAAACCATTAGAGGGTTTTTCAAATTCAAAAAATATATAAATGCGATATCTCGTCAAATATAATATTATATTGCATTGTGATTTTGTTTATGAAATTGAATAAAAAACAAACACGATTATTATTATATGAAATAATTAACATAAAAACTCAATGATATAATAGACAGTTTCATTATTGTTATTATTATCAACTATATTATTAACACTTTTCTTAAGTTTGGTTACACGTCTGTCTGTGATCAAATCTTGCGCGCTCGATTTGAGGCACTTTTTGAAGATGAAAAATTCTGAAAATTTGTATAGACCTTGGTCTTGGATGACAATACAATAATCCGTAAAAAAATTTTTTTAACTAAAAAGTAGAAAATAAAAAATTAAAAAATTATTTTTAAAAAACACCCTTTTCTAAAAAAACAAAAAAATAATGAAAAATTTAAAAGTGTGTGGCGCTCTTAAACTTGACATATTATACCACACACTTTTAAATTTTTCATTATTTTTTTGTTTTTTTAGAAAAGGGTGTTTTTTAATTTTTAATTATCCATTTCATTGTTTGGGCTGACTAATCATTTTAAATTTGTGCAAATATTATTATAGGACGTTAATTGGTTGAGAAGTAAACTGCCAAATGTGAAAGATGTCTACTTCATCAACAGCATAAAGTTCGGGCATCTGAGTTTCGTGATGCATGAAAACATCGATCGGCTAGTAAATAATAAAATAAAGAATGCATTGTCAACAAATGTAAATGCATTCAATTAGAATTGAGAATATAATTTGGTAAAATAGCATTAAAATTTTTTTCTATAGAATTTGTTATTTTTTATTGTTCATCTTGTTACATTTGAAAACGATATTTTGTACACTGCACGAATAATGCATAATAATATTATATAATTTAATATTATACAATATAATACTATTGATAATTTATTGTATTTATTGTGTTATGTGTAACTCAAAAATGCCTTTTGATGATTTTATAATAAATAATAAATAATAATAACTATTTTTAATAATGTATATTCTAATAGATATTTTATGTTGAACAGTTAATTTTAAAAATTACGATTTATTTGTAAGTACTTTTTCCGATTTACTATAGTAAAATAATTATATTAGTTCATGTAAATAAACTTATTTAGTACCTATAATAATTCGATGAGTAGAAACTAGAAAGTATAATCTAACACGGTATATAAAATTGTTTGTATACATTACACACGTCATTGGTAATCGATTGTGAAAAACGTTATTTATGTTCGATTATACTGATCATAAATTACTATTGCGTACAGTAAAATTATTTTTTTAAAAAACATTTCTCACCCAATGGCCTATGCTGTCGCGGATTATAAATTTTTTTTCAAAATTATTGTACCTATTGTGTATTTGTTTAGTTTTTTGAGAACAGTCAATGTTTTATTTTATAAAAATTAAAAGTTATGATTTATTATTATGATCTCTTACATTTATTTTAACAATACCTAATAATATTGCCCGATATTGTTTTAATGATGTCGTATTATATTGTAGAACAAAAAAGTAATGTATGCTAATTTAACTAACTTATACCTTCATAAACAAACGCTACATATTAAAATATTATAATAGTGATATTTTACTTAGAATTCGTGTCGTTGAACTTTTACAATTCAACAAAGGGAAACTTAAAATGTTAACAAATTGTATGCATTATAATACAAAACTATAAACCATTTAACAGTTATTAATAAATATATTATTTAGATATTCGTACAGTGTGATAACAGCCATACAAAAATATCCAATAAATATAACATTGCATTAATGGATTCGAAAAAGGATTGACGATTATTGTGAACGGTGATCGATTTACAGAGAAATTATCGAAATATCGAATAGTTGTTAAAACCTAAAACATTTATAAGTACCTACATGTTTAGTTCATCGTTTTCTGTAATTATATCTTGGTCAGAGCTGGGCCGAGGGCCTGGCAAGGTGGCACCTGCCAGGGGCGCAACATATTGAATGAGTGGAGGAGCCCAAAATCAACAAATTGTTGAGAATAACGGGGCCCAAATTGCCAGGAGCGCTACTTTTGCTCGGCCTGGCTCTAATCTTGGTAACACAATCTGTAAGCATGCAACTACTGGATCTCTCACACCAAATATAAAATAAATCAATACATAGGTACGAATCATACCCATTTTGTAACGGAACAAAACCGCGGTACCTATATAAGTGGCGCGATCTGTGTCCCGTCACTAAACAATCCGCCCGCCGACCAACACGCGCTCTCGCGCTACAAACATGCCTAGAACATCATGACCACCGTAATCGACGTCCGACAGGCGGAGCACACATCGCCATGCCCATACAGACGATACGGCGGCCCCGGGGAAGCTCGTTATTCATGAAAAACCCCGCAACTTAAAACCATTTTCATACCACGATAAAATTCTACAGAATCTACGCTACCGGATGGGTATTTTTAATGTATTTTAAACTGCCAAGAAAACATCGAAATCCGCAAAAACATTTTATACATTTCACACACCATCGATAATCCGAGAATAGCATATATAGACCTCGAAAACGCCGTCTAGAGCACCACTTCCCCGCTGTGTCGAATGCATTAGTGAGCCGGACGAGCATACCACTCGTTAGACACGGACACTAAGCATTCGACAAACCAGCATACACCCTACGACTTACTGCAAGCCGGACGAGTCTTTAAAAGCTCGTTAGACACGGATGCAGTATACAGTCCGCCCCGGCAACCCCAGTAACGCTGTTATTACGTCGAGCCGCCGCCGTCCGAGCCGTGCTGCCCCGTAAAATCCGCTGTCCTGCGCAATAACGCTGTCATTACGTCGAGCCGCCGCCGTCCGAGCCGTGCTGCCGCGTATAATATACTATCTCGTGCCGTGAGACCACGTTGCCCGTAGTCCACCGCCAGTCAACTGGAACCGTATCCCTGCCGTTCGAGTGAGGGTATACAGTTCGAGCGAATAGTTCAATTCTGGTTTGTCGTGTCGGTCGAGTATTTCGAGTTGTTCCTATCCCGCCGACAACCAGATTGAAGAGCATCACCGCTGCACACGTTGCCGTCAGTGAAGCTGTCCGAGGATCCGTACATTATTACGTCGAAGACGAGTACGCCGCATATCCAACTCCACCAAGTCGTGAGTTGAATGTAAACTGCCCCCCCCCCTTTATATGTAAGTCCCCAAATAAACTAGTTTTGCTGTACACTCTCCGGAGTTAACTTTAATTCAATATAAAAGAAAATACTGTTGTAAAATTAATACATATTGTATAAACTCAGATGATGAGCACATTGGTTGTAAATAAATAAAATACTATAACTCTCAACCAATTGCGTTTCATTACATTGGCGCCCAACTGCAGTGCTCGATTTAGAAGAAATTCTACTTCGGACCCCGAGATTAAGAAATTTGTGAAGGAAAGCTACATCGATTTGCAAAAAAAAAGAAAACTACAAGGTGAACATGGCTCCGAAGAAAAATGTCACCGAGGAAGCATTTAACGCGTTCAGGGAAGAAGTTGAACGAAACAGTCAATATTTAGTCAACCAGTTGTTGCAAAAAATCAACAGATTGGAAGAAATTACGGAAAATTACGAAAGGAAAATCGAAGAAATTACGGAAAATTACGAAAGAAAAATCGAAATAGTTAACGAACAAATCAACGACGTAAAACTTAAATACGAGCGGAACAGTAGACAACCAGTGCATAATGAAGGTAATAATAAGACTGAACAAATGCACAATACCGAGATATCGCGTCCAACATTTTTTGGAAACAACCGTGATGCACACCCAATAGATTTTTTGTACCGACTAGAAGAATATTTTGCAATCAAACAGTCGTATGTCGGGGAAAAAATAATCATTGTGGGTGATTGCTTAAAAGGAGCCGCATCAAGTTGGTTCTCCACCATACGATTCCAACTAACCAATTATGACGACTTCAAAAAGGCGTTCATCGACGAATTCTGGTCCAGGGAAATACAAATACAGGTATGGAGTCAGTGCTTAAGTACTAAACACATACCGAACAACACCAACTACCGTGAACATTTCGCCACATGGGCAACCAAACTTCGACATCTCGAAGTACCACGATTATCGGAGAATGAAATAGTGAAGCACATAGCTAGACACTACCCAGGATATCTCAGGGCAATCTTAGTGTCACTACCCGAATGCACCATACTTACAGCAATGAAAATACTAAGCGAAGAGGGGCAAAATGATCAACCCACAGAAAACAAAACAAGTAATCAAAAAAATAGCCAGAATGATTCACACAACAACAACAATGATTCAAGTGGCCAAACCAATAATAATTGGAACAACCAAAGAAACAGAGACTGGAACAATATGCCACCACGCAACAACCGTTGGGGCAATAACCAAACATATCGCAACAATGACAAGCGGGGAGACACGCAAACCAGTGGTCAACAACAGACCGAAAAAATCAATCAGGTGGTCACCAATAACGACGAACAAGCAGGACCAAGTAATACCGAACACCATATTATCAACTCGTTAAACACCACCAATCAGTCAGTAAGCCCGTATATTCAATGTACCATAGAAGGGGAAGACATAACATTACTTATCGATACCGGAGCAACAATCAGCGTACTGACTAAGGAGGTGGTAGATAGTATCACAAATAAAAATCCGAAAATCCCACAACTTCCAGTAACAGGGATACAAATCAGTAACGCGGTTGGGAAAAAGATCTGCAAGGTATCGAAGCAGATTTTCTGTGAATGTAAAATAGGAAACGAATATATACAGACAAATTTCATACAAGTAGAAAATTTGAATGAAAAAGGTATAATTGGAGCTGATATTTTAAAAAAATATAATGCCCAAATTAAATTCAGCGAACAAATTATTCAGTTCAAGATTGACAAAACGATACACACTGTACCATTTGCGAACCAAAAACCGAAATTAATCAGCTTGCAGGAACACTTGCTCAATGTTGAGGTAAATGAAGACCCGGAAGAGGACCAAGTGACTCTTACCAGCAACGAGAGACAAAGATTTTGTTCACTACTTGACAAGTATGACGAAATTTTTTCAGACAAACCAGGGAGAATTGAAGCATTTCAATGTCAGATCCGAGTGAAGACAGGGGACCCGATTCACCAAAAGCAATACCCCATACCAGTAGCTCGAATACCCAGAGTAGACGCGGAAATACAAAGAATGTTAAAATTAGAAATCATCGAAAAATCTACGTCGCCTTGGTCATCACCCATAGTCTGCACGGAGAAGAAAAATGGCGACATCCGACTATGTTTGGACGCACGAAAAATCAACACAATGATCATCCCCGACCGGGAGTGCCCAACCAACATGGAGGAGACGCTAATGAAATTCCGTGGCATGAAATATCTCAGTTCCATTGATCTTACTGCCGGGTACTGGCAATGTCCATTGAAGAAAGAATGTAGGGAGATAACTGCTTTTTTACATAGAGGGAGAAACTACCAATTTAAGGTACTACCCTTCGGCCTAATAAATTCGGTAGCGGAGTTCCAGAAGATACTCGACCAGGTGCTAGGACCAGAAATACTACAATTCGCCGCGGTGTACGTAGATGATATTCACATTACCTCACGAAATTTCGAAGAACACATGCAGCACCTTGAAAGTATTTTTAAAAAGCTAGCACAGCATCATATCACGATCAACCGGAAAAAGTCACAGTTTCTCAAAAGTCAGGTGGTCTTCTTAGGACACATAATCTCAGAAAAGGGGATTACCATGGACCCAGATAAAATCCAGGTAATCAAGAACTTTCAACCGCCCAAAACCAAGAAACAGGTCCAGTCATTCCTTGGATTCATAAACTTCTATCGTAAGTTTATCAGGGACCTATCCCAGGACACGGAACGACTGAGTGCCCTAACCAAAAAGGACACTAAATGGCAATGGGGAACGCAGCAACAAATCGCATTCGAGAATATCAAAAACAAGTTCCTGGAGGACATAATCATACAGTTCCCAGACTTCACGAGGGAGTTTTGCATAAACACAGATGCTTCTACTACACACGTTGGAGTAGAAATATATCAGATAAGTGAAGAGGGACGACACCAAACCCTCGGATTTGCCAGTAGAACGCTGAATGCAGCGGAACGGAACTACAACACCACGGAATTGGAGTTATTGGCAATAGTCTTCGCGTGTAAGAAATTCCGACACTATTTAATTGGACACAAGGTGAGGGTACTGACCGATCATCACTCACTGACCTTTCTTAACACATGCCAACTGCTAAACGCTAGGCTCGTCAGATGGTCCACATTTCTCCAGGAATATCAACTGGAAATAATACACATACCTGGTAAGGAGAACATTGGAGCAGACACGCTGACTAGGTACCCACAATCTCCTATCGAGGACACTCCAGCAAATACGAGAACCATCATCATCAACCGACTCGCCCTATTAGAATACAGCCCCGAACTAAGGAAACAATTCAATGAGCTGCACACACTGCAACAGTCCGATGAACACATTCAAAAATTGAGACAACGGATGAACCAGAGGGCGGACAACAATATCATAATTCACAACGAATTACTATTCCGAAAATCCAATAATGGGGAATACCAGGTACTGGTACCGAGAGAACTGGTCCAATCACTAGTCATAGAAACCCACCAGATCTATGGACACTGTGGGACCTACAAAACATATCAGTTGCTACAACAACACCACCAATTCCAGAGCATGTATCACACAGTCAAGCGAATCATCAAAACATGCGATACCTGTCAGCGGACTAAGGTCACCAACATCACGGCCAGGGGACCAACACTGAGTCTACTTCCAGAGAAACCACTCGAGATGGTCTCGGCGGACCTCATGGGACCACTGCCTAGGGGACAGGGAGGATGTCGGTATATCCTAGCCATCCTCGACTTATTCTCCAAGTACATCAAGCTCTATCCACTCAAGCGAGCCACCACCGATACTATCATTAAGCGCATCATTAATGACTATATCCCAACGGTAGGATTATTCCAGAGAATCCTAACGGACAATGGAACGCAGTTTACCAGTCAGAAGTGGGACCGAGTCATGAATGGATTAAAAATCAAGAATCTCCACACAACGATATATCACCCGGAGAGTAACCCCGTCGAGCGTGCCAATCGAGAGATCGGGAGACTACTACGCACCTATTGTCATCGACAACATACAAATTGGTTACGTTGGCTAGATAACGTGGAATTCTGGATTAATAACACAACACATACAACGACCGGATACACACCGCAGTACATCATGCATGGAAAGAGTACCCCTCTGTCCATCACTAAACTGGTAACCTTCCCGGAGCAGCAAGCTACCGAACCGGAACCAGACATCGTACAGATAGTTATGAAAAGAACTAAGAGACAAGCCCAGCTACGAAACAAACGTAAGGATCGGGATAAGCAGTTTCCAAAATATGAACCAGGGAAGAAGATACTTGTCAAGGAGCATAGGTTATCCTCAGCCGAGGACCATGAAACCCACAAGTTATTTCTGTTGTACCACGGACCGTACCAAATCTGCGAGGTACATGAGAACAATACAGTGACGGTACTCAACCAAACGGGACAACCACGAACATACAACTACAAAAACATAAAGCAGTACCACGAATATGAGCCACCCGCTCAAGTACAGCCCACCTCAGATAATCAATAATAATTAAAAAAAAAAAAAAAAAAAAAAAAAAAAAAAAAAAAATGTAAATTGTAAATATAAATGTATATAGAAATGTAAATAACTTGTGCTGCCTGTGATACTAACTACATGTCTATCAATTATGTATATGTGACTAACGCACCCCTCCGTAGGAAAACAAAACAAAAAGAGAATGGAAATGCGTATACAAATCCCGTTGGGAAAGCTGCAAGCTGTCCGGTTGATCAGCAAACGGGAATTGACAAATATTGACAGGTATCTCGACACAAATCAAAAGAAACGAGTTGCCAAATTTTTCCGCGACGAAGCCGCCAAGAGGAACAAGTACCTGGCCAAGCCGAACTGGACATTACCTGAAACACTCCAGATGGTGAACAAAGACGGTTACAGAGCACCTTCCCCGGAAATCCTATCCGATGATTGGGAACCGACATGGACGATGCCCGAGTGTCAACTTGCCGCCGAGAAAGTGTACGTACTTGATACATCACCAGAGACCACCCCAGATCATACTGAGAAGAAGGAAACCTCCGAGGGAGAGGAGGAAAAGGGAACACCTTCCTCCATGAGTACTGTGGTAACAGATGACGACGAAATCGAGCCAGTACATGCCGATATCCTTGACATCGCAGCATCACCATTACCTGAAAGCGACAGTGGAACAGAACAAAGCGATCCAGAAGAAGAAAGTTCAAAAACCGAAATGATGAATAGCACCATAAAAACCCTGTGGGACAAGCAACAAGGATCTTACCATAGCCTCAAGGAGGGACTATTCACTGCAAAAAAATTCATAAAAGGATTTGAAGAGGTATCCAAGACACAGATGAAGAAGCAAATATACCGAGAGAAACTGAAACAGATAAAGGCCCTCAAACGCCAACATCAGCAATAATCCACAGACAAGTTTTGATTTGCCAAAAATACTTCAAAATCTCAATATTTTGGTCGAATCAAAAAGGGGACAATGTAACGGAACAAAACCGCGGTACCTATATAAGTGGCGCGATCTGTGTCCCGTCACTAAACAATCCGCCCGCCGACCAACACGCGCTCTCGCGCTACAAACATGCCTAGAACATCATGACCACCGTAATCGACGTCCGACAGGCGGAGCACACATCGCCATGCCCATACAGACGATACGGCGGCCCCGGGGAAGCTCGTTATTCATGAAAAACCCCGCAACTTAAAACCATTTTCATACCACGATAAAATTCTACAGAATCTACGCTACCGGATGGGTATTTTTAATGTATTTTAAACTGCCAAGAAAACATCGAAATCCGCAAAAACATTTTATACATTTCACACACCATCGATAATCCGAGAATAGCATATATAGACCTCGAAAACGCCGTCTAGAGCACCACTTCCCCGCTGTGTCGAATGCATTAGTGAGCCGGACGAGCATACCACTCGTTAGACACGGACACTAAGCATTCGACAAACCAGCATACACCCTACGACTTACTGCAAGCCGGACGAGTCTTTAAAAGCTCGTTAGACACGGATGCAGTATACAGTCCGCCCCGGCAACCCCAGTAACGCTGTTATTACGTCGAGCCGCCGCCGTCCGAGCCGTGCTGCCCCGTAAAATCCGCTGTCCTGCGCAATAACGCTGTCATTACGTCGAGCCGCCGCCGTCCGAGTCGTGCTGCCGCGTATAATATACTATCTCGTGCCGTGAGACCACGTTGCCCGTAGTCCACCGCCAGTCAACTGGAACCGTATCCCTGCCGTTCGAGTGAGGGTATACAGTTCGAGCGAATAGTTCAATTCTGGTTTGTCGTGTCGGTCGAGTATTTCGAGTTGTTCCTATCCCGCCGACAACCAGATTGAAGAGCATCACCGCTGCACACGTTGCCGTCAGTGAAGCTGTCCGAGGATCCGTACATTATTACGTCGAAGACGAGTACGCCGCATATCCAACTCCACCAAGTCGTGAGTTGAATGTAAACTGCCCCCCCCCCCCTTTATATGTAAGTCCCCAAATAAACTAGTTTTGCTGTACACTCTCCGGAGTTAACTTTAATTCAATATAAAAGAAAATACTGTTGTAAAATTAATACATATTGTATAAACTCAGATGATGAGCACATTGGTTGTAAATAAATAAAATACTATAACTCTCAACCAATTGCGTTTCATTACAATTTAGAGGGGAAAAAGTGGCTTCGTCGAGGAGTAATAAAATGGATGGGAAATGTCACTTATGTATTTACCACCAGATTTCTGTGCCTCCATCGGTGCCCCCCCGTTTGGGATGCCATGGTAGGAGGTGTACAGCTATTAGCACATATTATATTATAGTCCTATAATAGTAGTCACGAAGTAATCGCTTCGGTGCCGAATTTATCAATACTCTCTTTTTGATTCCGGAAATTGTTAATTTACCTACAATGACGATGTGGACTGTTTGGTCTGTATAATGACCATGCAGGAGCAGGACGCAGGTACAAGTAATATACTAATAAAATAAATAATAATTAAAAAATAATTATAAATAATTCGAAATATATTTCACCGACGTCTGACACCTGTAACAGCTGCAGTTACTTGACTTGGAGTCTTAAAATATAATATTCTTGCACTTTTTAATATTATAGTGTTTTCCGAATATTAAGACTGAAAGACGTATAATATATGGTTACTGGTCACCCACTCACCCATATAGTTTTTGTGAAAACCCTAGTACATAACGTTTCTTGTGTATATAATTAAACATTTTATTTTATAATGAACAAAATTTTGCAATGTAGATCCAAATTACAACCCTAGTACGATACATTTTAAGAAGTGATTTTAATTCATGTGTAATAGAGTAAACACCAAGGAGATCTAAAAATCTATAATCTCAATAAGACAAGTCAATATTTTAGAATTAATGTTACATTATATCAGCGCTTCAGGCGTTGATTAAAATACGACAATTTTTAAATATTCTTTATTAATATGATTTTTTTAGGAATTTGGGGGATAATATCAAAAATGTGGGGAGGTCGATTTCAAGAAGACTTGACGAAAAATTCAAACCTGTTTTTAGAATTCTTATCGTTTCATTAGATCAATGATGGTTTAGACAAAAACAGAAAATCACTGTTTAGAATCCCCTTAAATAAGGATATTTTATTATCTTAAAATTCAAATAAAATTACTGGCCGAATTGGCCACACATTATACACTCATGAACTTGTAATGAGCAAAAAGGAACAATGTATATGCTGCACCTTATGCAACACTGTTATGCGACTACTGTTAAACACCTATTAATACTGAATGCCTCCTCACAAAAGACGCCAGACACAAACGGATGCTCCCCAACAATCTTTGTGAAATACTAGCACCAAACACAGAGAGAACATCGTCACTTCTAGAACTCCTCAAAGAGACGAACCTTTTTCAAAAAATATAATATGAACACTTAGATATATCACATACAATTTATATTATTCTTATACTTATTGTATCATATTAATTATCTTATATACAACTTATTCTTTTGTAAAGTGTAAAGAAATTGTAATATGTATTTTGAAACGCCAATAACCCCGGTAGTTGAGGAGTATTTTTTTAAATTAAAAAAAAAAAATTACTGGCCATTTACATTATACTGTTAGACCTCAATGCAACTGAGCGATATGTAAAAAAGAAAAAAAGAAAAAATATGTTAATCTCTAAAGAAATATTAATATAATTGTTTAACTGATTCAATCGGTTACTATGTAATAACAACCTAATAAAATATGTCTATTTACAATATGCTATATTTAAACTCGTTGATTTAAACATTTACATTGACTCTACCGAATACGTATAAAATATGATGAGTGTCAGGTATTATACAATTCAATACCGAATGAACAAACGATTATGTTTGGTATTAAATTTATGTACACAGCAACAAATGGTTTATTAACTTTAATACATTTATTACATGGCAATTATTTTAAGTATCGTTAAATCAAATATTATCCATTGACTACCTTGAATTTTCAATATTGCAGCATATAAAAACTCACCATTTAAGTGATGTGGACATTATCACTACTGTTGTTTATTTTATTTCTATACAGTCTAAGATGAATTGTCATTTAGGTTTAAAAATCTGATATTCCAATGTTTATTCACTTATTTCGAGTGGATTTACATTTATCGTTTCATAAATCGTTCGTTAAATAGTAAATTATCAACTCAAAAAATATGTTCTTATAACAGTTTCGTCAAACGAAATAATCCACACCAATTGTAGTCATCAGCACTTACAAAGCTGAAATTTGTGTATATTACATCGACAATGCACATACATAAGATATTTTATATAGAAGTTTTTGCTTTTAGTATACTAATAAGTGTACAGCAACATTATGTTTCTGCTTTTACAACCGTAAGTATAAAAGTTTTACCTATAGAGTATAGGTATATTATTTTTTAAAACGTATATTTTATAACGATAATGATTTAGTAATTTCATATAAATGATCAGTTTATATAACACGCATATTATGGTCACTGATTCAACATTCCAACAATCAACCCAATTATTTATTTCGAAAATGTATTATTTAAGTTTTAGAATTATTAATTATCCAATGAGTGAAAAACTAATATTAACCATAGAATGGATTGATTTAGTAGTAGGTACATTAAATTATGATAATTTTTATATTAAATGTTTAACAATATGTATAGGTAAATATTAAATGTACAGTGTACCACCATGTTTGTCTTCGTACACGGTATACACACTCAGTCTACTACACTAAGTATAGGGTCACTTTGTACTACCTATCTGCATATTTAATGCAAATTAGTTATTACATTTTTTTAAATATTTTTATAAATTAACTCTGTGATGGATAGATTACCATCTATCTCAAACTATTAAGTAACGTAAAAACAATATTATATTTTATTTTGGGTTCAAATAAAAGAGTAAGATGAAAAAAAGGAATTTTAATTTTAATAGCTGCGGGCCTCCAATTATTGGTCATTGGACTATTATAGTCATAATTATAATCTTATTAAATAGATATATCGTTATAATCTTTGTCCAAAAACATATTTCAAAAATATTAAATAAAAAAAATATTATTTAATTTGTTTTTTGGTATAAAGTATAAACACTATACATATCACAACTTAATATATAAGTACTAATACCAGTAGAAAAGACATATTGCAATTAAGATAATTAGCAGCTATTCTTTTTTTTCCCATCCTATATTGAATCTCAATTGATGACTGGGTGAAAACAACTTGAAATATGTTTAGTATTTCTGTTTTTTTTTTTTTTAGGTTCTGAGCGAAGTGATGAATGCATGGATTTTACAATGATGTGTGTTATTTTTTTGTGTCCGTCATCACTTTTTACTTTTTAGACAGTAAAAATGTTCTTTCAACAACACCTTTTCTGATAGGAAAGTGAATCTAGTTGGTACTTTGGGGGTGAAAAATAAAAAATTCCCAGTAGTTTCCGCTGAATGTTTATATTAACATTTTGTATGTACATTGTACCTACGATAAAATTTTCAAAATAATTTGACTTGTTTTGAGCTCTTTACGGACATTTTAGTTTTGTTATTTTGTTATAATTTTATAATATTAACTCAACTTACCGGCTAGGTACCGTATTAATAATAAAATAATAAGTAATAACAATATAAATATAATATAAAATGCCTACTTTGACAAAACGTCTCCGCTCAGAATCGTTTTTCGTATACAATGATGTTAAATCATTGAATTCAAATATAATACCATTCATTATATAGTGACCCATTTGTAACCTACTGTACAGCATGGCGACATCCGCTTCCCCACCTTTTTTGTATTAATTTAGTCTATTATATATTTTTATTTTTGACTTAAAGGCAGATCAAATAATTAGTAATG